AATACTCTGCGGTGGTATTTTGAACCTCTTTCTATCCCTAATTCACTCGATAAATGATTAAGTGAAAAAGATAACAATGATTATAAACCCAGTAGTATTAAATTTCACGTGAAATAATTTTAATGCACTCGATAGATGGATAAGGATTCACTTATTGGAGGTTTTCAAGTTAAATTTTACTGGGTATGTAAGACATCCTAATAATGAATCGTCTTGATCTTTATATTTATTAAAAGAAATTAAACTTTCAATTTATCTATTGTTAAATTTGAATTATTGTTTTTTAATCATAATTATTTGCAAATAAAGCAGATCAAAAATTGATGTATGATAATAAAAGTAAATTTCTAATACAAAGAAATGTTGCAAATTAAATAGGAGTATAAATTGAATAACTGCAACATATTTTTTAATAAAATTTTAAGAAAAATGTTAAAGGTATTCCAATTGTTATTCCAATTTGTACTTCACCTTATTTTTGTGCCTCACAAAAGCATATCATTAAAGTAGGGTAATTTATTTATTGAGGTGGGATTTTGTGAGTTTCAAAAATAAGGTTGGGGTACCAATTGGGGTACTTGTAGTAGGCTTGAAATTTTAATATGAAGAACTGTTGCGTAAAAGTGTAATTATCTTCAAATATTCATTTGAATGCTTTTTGACTAAATTTGATACGGATAAACTAGACTTAATGAATTATATGTTTAAAAAACATTATTAAAAATTCCACTCGGGATTTTCTCAAACATTATTAAACATTATTTGATTTTTTATGTAAGTTTGAGGGCTGACATAAGAGTTTATTTAATTTTTTTATGTAAATTTGTGGGCCTATCTAATTATATTTTTATAAATAATATTTCTCTCATCTAGTAAGTGTTTATTTGATTTTTATGTAAGTTTCCAAAACCTTTGATTTTTATAAATAATATTTCTCTAATCTCGGTAAGAGATTGTCCGCTTGTCTCTTCTCTTACCCTTTTCTAATTCAATATTTCATTTCGGGGTATTTTTGTATTTTTAACAATTTATTACATCAACTTTTACATTTTAATAACATTATTACTTCCATTTTCAAACATTATCAATTTTTATTACAAATCATTTTTTTTCAATAATCATTTAAAAAACATTTTTCAAAAGCACAATCTCTTGCAAACATAGTCTGAAATGGAGAGAGTGGCATTGGTTTTAGATTTAATTTTAATAAAATAACTCTTTAATATTTTCATCATAATATTTAAATTAAATACATTATCCTTAGTTTGTTGCATCCTTAGTTTGTTGCATGACTATGAGAATAAAAAACATGTCTTCTACTCTCTCCGTTCTTTATTATTAGTCCTTCTTTCCTTTTTGGGATGTTTTTTTTATCTGTTCTCCTTTCCATTTAAGGAAAGTTTTTACTTTAAATATACCTTTATATCCCCATTTTTATTACCATTACCTCTTTCTCTTTCCACTTTTTCATTTACCCACTACTCATTATACCTTTTTATACTACCCCTACTACTTTACTCTTAAAATTCGTGCCAAAGTCTAAGGAGACTAATAAAAAAGAACGGAAGGAGTATTTATTAGAAGTAAGAGGATAAAATGTGCACTAATATAAAGTACTCCGTATTTACAATACAAAGTAGCAATAGAGTATAACTATTTGATCAACAACTTGATAAAATTTGATGTGACAATATAGACAGATTCTCTCACCTCAAAATTGAAAATAATAAAAATTGAGAATTACGAAATCACTCACAACCCCAATAATCAAAGAAATACTTACATATTTATGATTAAAATAAACATTGTTTACAAAAATGTGATCAATGATTAGAGCAGTAACAAAATCATGGTAATTTATGTTCATTTTATAAACTTAAGTTATCATTACACTATATTGTAGTAACTATTAATTATATTCTTGTAAATAAATTCTATTTTGGTAATATTTTTGAAAAAATCTCATAATCTAATGCATTTGTAATTCCATCACCATCTTCACCATTATCTTAGCTTCTCTCACATGAGACCCTCACGAGTGTGCAATGCAATAGATAATTGCTACAGCCTACAGGTTACTATTTCTCAATTTTCCTAAGATATTACTCAAATTAGACACTATTTCAGGCTCTTTAAATTGCCCGTTTTGTGTCCAACGAATCACATTGTTTTGTATGAGGTGTCTGATTTTATGTCTATTCCTGGGTCTCATGGTCGGATCTGTAATAATTGGATGGACGTTATCTTTTATCTTGTCTCATTTTTTTTATACTACCTCCGTTCTCTTTTAGTTGCAACGTAGAACTTTTTTCACTATTCACAGATTCTACTTTGACTACATTTTATTTATTAATGTATTATGAGTTAAATTTTTTAAAAAATATTTTCAAATTCCTCTCATAATAAATTTTCAAAATTTGATTTTTTAAATTTTTTTACTAATAAGGAATGAAAGATATTAACAGTCAAACTTATTCGTTGACAAGCGTGAAAAGTTGACTGTTGCAATTAAAAAAGAACGGAGGAAGTATATAAAAAGCTAGTCATTTTTATTCAAAAAAAAAAAACATTTATGATTCATTGAATATTTTTTTTTAAAGAAATCGGCTGAAATTGATAACATATCATTGAGATAGTAGGTAATTCGACAAAACAACTCCTGACAACCGTCGTTCCTCGAACCAGACTCAGGGTTTATCACATCAACAATATAACTCGCTGATTCATTAATGGGCATAAATGAGTCAAAGACGGTTACTGCAGTCATTCCATCACTCACATCCAAATCCAAAACCACAGTCTTACAATCGAAAGAGAAAACAACAAAGAAACACAGACAAATTCAGACCATTAAAATAAATAAAAGCAAAAAAATAAATTTCTTCACTCAATCTTCCAAGAATCACTGACGGCGGTTCAGGAGGGGGTCAGATCACCTCCACTTCATCTTCTTCCTTCATCGCCTTGATCTGCCCTTGATTTGCCTCTAGTCGAATCTCCCTATCCACGAATGAATTGCCAGAAGACGGCACCGCTCCCTCGCCAAAAGACGATAGCGGACAAATAAAACTCTAGCGGTGAAACCCTAGAGACTAATCGCGAATCCAGGACAATGCAGTCCTCCTCCTCCTCTTCGATCGACGAAATATCGATCGCCGCCATTAGGGGAGAGCAAACCCGACCCTATCCGATTGACCCGAACGGATATATCCGAAATTATTGTTTGGATCGGAAAACCCGACCCAAAATATCCCAACTCGAACCGATTCTTGCAACACGTGACTTAAGCGGGTAGAATTATAAATTAGGCTACTCGACCCGCCTGACTACCCGGACTAGTGTAGTATATATACTACTTTGAATTATTTTGCATGTTCAAATATCTCAATTATTGTATGCCAATTACCATGTTAAGCACGTCCAAATATTCCAATTACCATATTTGTACAACTGTAACTTTGAATGTTGTATTGTTATGACTTTCAATGATATTTTGACCGATTATCATTTTATTTATCATAATATCGAATATGTCAATCACCGTATATTATTGTTTTACATGTTCAAATATGTCGATTACCGTAATTATACAACTATTACTTTGAATGTTATACTAGTATAATTTTGAATGAATTTTTTTACCGATTACTCCCTCCGTCCCATTTTACCTGTCCTACTTTCCTTTTTGGGTTGTCCCAAAATAAGTGTCTCCTTTCCTTTTTTGGAAAGAAATATGTGGTTTACACCATTTCACTTTATTAAACTCAAATCTCAACCACAACTTTTACTTTTTCAACCACTTCATTAATAACCGTGCCGAGTCAAAATAAGACACATAAAAAAAATGGGACGGAGGGAGTACCATTTTATTTATCATAATTTAAACAATAATAAATTAAAATCTGAATGGACCCAAAAACCGAATCAACCCGATCCCAATCCGAACTTCTTCAACCCGAAAAATCCCGATAATTTTTTTGACAGGACAGGATTTGAAATTATCAATCCGATAACCGAACGAGTTTACAAATTTTGAACCCGACCCGCCCGAACCCGACCGGTGCTCTGCCCTAGCCACCGTCTTCATCTCCATGGCGGAGTTGTCCGCCTAAAACCTAGCAAAAGCGGCGGGAATAATGCCCACACCAGTATCTATGTTGTAAGACCCGGACCGGCCGGTTCGACATGGAAAGCGTCACCCGGCCATCTGACCGATCTGATTGAGCATCCAAAAAACCCGATATTTTTTTTGACATGATAGGGTATGAAATTATCAATCCGATAACCGAACGGGTTTACAATTTTTGAACCCGACCGGTCCTCTGCCCTAGCCGCCGTCTTCATCTCCATGGCGGAGTTGTCCGCCTAAACCCTAGCAGAAGCGGCGGGCACACAAGTAATCCAGTATTTGAAGTACTTAAACAACTGTATTGTGATTCATTTAATATATTAATCCACGTATTAAATATTTAACAAAATTGACCGTTGTTTTATTATTTTCTTAGGGGATAAGGGTCAGTTTGGTTCTCGAAGTTGCAAAAAAGGGGTCAAATAAGTCCTTATATAGAAGATTCTGTCCGGATGTGCCATTTGAGGTGGCTCCCGGTGGAATTTTTTGATGAATTTTTTTGAGCATATTATTCATTAAGTCTAGTCCACTCATACCAAATTTTAGATAAAAAATCAATTGGGAAGACATTCAAATCAATTCTTGAAGATAACTGTGCCGTTAAAAGCACAGTTATCTTCAAGAATTCATTTGAATGTCTTCCCGATTGAATTTTTAGCTAAAATTTGGTATGAGTAAACTAGACTTAATGAATAAGATGTTCAAAAAAATTTGTCAAAAAATTCCACCGGGAGCCACCTCAAATGGCACGTCCGGACAAAATCTTCTATATAAGGACTTATCTGACCCCTTTTTTGCAACTTCGAGGACCAAACTAACCCTTTACTCATTTTCTTAGGTTAAATTGCAATCCAAATTTAATTTAGCACAATTAACACATTCTATGGGATCCTTATCGGGCTCTTCCAATCGGAACTCAACTATTCAGGCAACATTCCGTCTGACCCTCTTACCCCAACTGCGCCGTCTAAAATGAACAGCCCCGGAATTCCTACAATCCCCCCTCAACAGGTGTTATTTAATTCAGATCTGGTGTTCATCCGTTCCAATTACAAACGGATATGAGTCTCACAACTTCATCTCTATCAGTTAATAACGACGGAGAGATTTCTCCTGCAGAGAAACAAGTGACTTTATGGGCAAAGAGGACAGGCCAAGCCTTGACCAGGCAACAACTGAGAGCCCTCACTCAAGTTCTGGAGAACAATGATGTCCAGGATATGGATTGCTTGAGTTGGATGTTACTTGGATGGAGCCTCAGAGGAGAATCTCAATTGGATGAGATGATAAACGTTCTGAACTCACTACAATCGAATGTCAGCACCTGTCTGGCCTCAAATGAATCTTTCAGAAAAGAATCTTGCCAGCTTATAAAGGGTTTGAAAGTGAAGCTTTCACAACATGCCATGGCTCCAAAAAATCAGTTCTTGCAGCCTCCAATTATTCCCCAACCAGAACAGACCCTTAATTTATCAGGAACTCTTTTGACAAAGGAGATGTCAACAAGTTCTGTACCATCAGCAAATGTTAAAACCAGTGGAATGCCCAGCCTGAAATCTCTGTTGAAGAGACAAGCGCCCATGAAAGCACCTGCAGTTCCAAAGGCTGTTCCTTCAGTATTAAGTGTCAATGAAAAAATGGCTGCTATTGTAAACTCAACTGTGTCTGGGAATTTCCAAGATGGCACTTATTCTCCTGAAGATGTTGCCTCTTTCCTGGCTGCTATGCGTAAGTCTGCTCTCTAGTTCGCTTTTTTTTACACTAAGCCAGATCTTGACAGGGCAATCTGGAATTTTATGAAGCAAAATGGATATCCTGCTAAAAACATAAGCAAAACTATGCATGCTCACATTGTTGCAGATGCACTGGCAGACTATCTTCAGAATGCTTCTAAGAACTGAACGCTTAAATTTTCAGCTTTAATCTTGAAATAATGTCGTCTTTTGCTTTTTATTCTAACAAATATAGTGTGGCAACGTTGATTTAGTGAACAGTTATTACATTAGAGTACACCTTACATATGCTTCTTTCATGATTTGTTTGCTTGTCGTGATGAGTAGTTTTTTGAACACATACTGAAACACTAAGACACACTCAGTTTTGTATTTGATTATCACATTGAATTTAGCTTTGGATGTAAAAATAGATGTTTATCATTTCAAAAAGTAATATTTAGTTATGATTTTAGGTGTTTTTTAGAGTCAAATTTGAACACACATATACCTTAGAATTTCAATAGTATTTTATAGGCCACAATTCATGTAGTGAAATTTAAACTCGCATCCTACATTGTCTTTCTTAGCGTATAGTAGTTGTTACATTACACTCATCACACTCTTTGATGTAGCCACTGTTTTGTGAAAGTCAATGTAGCATGTGGTTTTCAATTTTGCTGTATGAATTGTTATCTATAAAATGCTTTTAAAACTCCAAGGTAAGTGCTTATTGAAACTTGACTCTAAAAACTAAAAAGCATAAAGTAGTATCTAAATATGTCATTTTGAAGATGCTAAACATTTATTTTACATGCAAGCTAATGCTAAATTAAATATGATAATCGAATAAAAACAGTTCATTTTAGTGCTTTAGTGTGCAGAGCAAGAATAAAGAAAAGAAAACAACAAAAGGGAAGAAAAAAACAAAGATGAACAAAAATCCGACCTGAAAATATGTCCCTAGAACTCATTCAATTCTTCAAAATTCCGCTCTTATTTGAGATCTTGTCCTCACAAGATGTGAACGTTGATTCTTTTTCTATATATCTTAAGTTGAGTGTTCAAGTGCTCCATAGGCAAACAGTTTTGTCTTTTGACCAACATAGCTTTGAAACAAATATCCTAATTTGTATCAGAGTCCCACAGATCCTCCATCGATGAAATATGGGTCCTTTTCTCTTCTCCGAAGCATGACCAAGAAATTCATCCCCGAGTGTGAAAATAATTGCTCACCAAAGGCACCCTCACAATATAAAGTTTTAGAATATCGGTTACCTAAAAAACATCCCTCAAGAATATACCATTTGGTTTTACACACTCGGAAGCTTACTCTTCACTAGAACGTCTCCTGCTTAGAGATCTTGTCTTCCTTCAATTAGTAGTAGCTATCCCTTCATCAGTAGGTCTTTCATATGGTTACCCAAAGCAGAGGCAAGCAGTTTTTCGATTTCTTTAAGTAGAAAGTGGGAGAGTGAGTCCACTTATAGAAGTTTTAAAACAATCCTTGAGAGAGTCAATGTCAAGGATTAATAGAATGGTTAACATCATAAAAAAGAATCACTGACTCAAGATGGTCAATATCAAATTGGAGCACAGTCAAGTGCTTTAGTGCTTCATTAATGTGCAGAAAAGTTGCTCCGAGTGTGAAAGTATATTAGAATATACTTTAGAATATGCTTTAGAATATATTAGGAATTAGGAATATACCATATATAGTATTATTGTATAGCATCTTTTATATGAATATTCTATCTTTGTAATCTATATTTATAGGGCCTTACCCTTCAATGAAACATACTGAAAATCTTTCCTCCACTCTTCAATATTATTCTAGTTTATATTTCATCATGGTATCAGAGCCTTCCATTTCAGTTTAGTTTTTTTTTTCAGATTTCAATTTTGTTTTTCAGACTCAGTTCTTTCTCAAAGAACTTGAGTTCAGTTCAGAACCTCTGTGCACCATTCTGTCTACAAGAAACTCAACGCAGACAGAACCTCTCTACACATCATCGCCATTATCCAGAACCTCTATTCAGAACCTTAGTTCAAATTCAGAACCTCTGCCAGGTCCGACCATTTTTTTTCCCGGCAAATTTCGGACAACACCATTCCTGCCGTCCCCACCAGACATTGAAATTACGCAGCTCCAAATTGACGCCCTACAGCCACAGTCCTCTGGAAGTAATCGCATCTGCCGGCGAGTGACACACCTTCCCTCTGGCCGGAGATTCGACCGGGATTTTTGCCACAGACTCGCCTGAGAATCCTCTACCATCAGGTATCGTTTACTTCTCCAACAAAGGAACGGATATCTGTGGGAGGAAATCTTGTGGTTGGTCGCTGGGGTTTGGCATCGGACATCCGCTCTTCACTGATTCTTGCGTGCTGGGGTCTAGCATCGGATCTCTAGCATATGCTCTAGCGCATCTTCTTTTATTCTGTTTGGAGTCCGAAGCAGTCAACGCCAAAGCCAAAGATAAGATATTTGTTCTCCTAATTCCTAATTTTGAGTCCATAACGGGAAAGTTGCTGTGAGTTTATTAGTTATATTTGAAGTCCAGAAGCATTTAAATCTTTTAGTCCACAAACCGAAAAAGCTTCTGAAAGTTTTTTTTACCTAATATCCCAAATTCTTTGCTGCCTCATAATATATATATATATATATATATATATATATATATATATATATATATATATATTCATATGTATATATATTAAAAAAGAAAGAAAAAAAAGGTAAATTATGTATTGTACGGGTAAGTTTGACAGAGCAGTACTATGCAATTACTGCAAGAAGCCCGGACACTTGATCAAAGAATGTAGAAAATTGCTATTCAAAAATCAAGGAAATCAGCTTGCTCGTGTCGCTTCCGCTACCAGTTCATCTGATGGATCAGTTGCTATTTCTTCAGATGAGTATGCCAAATTTATTTGCTACCAAGAATCTCTAAAGCATTCATTTGTCCCTATCTCGGTAGCCGCAAATTCAGGTATTTCAAACACATGTCTTGTTTCATCATCCTCGAAATGGGTCATTGACTCAGGTGCCACAGATCATATGACCGGTAATCCCAGTCTATTCTCGTCATTTCATTCATATTTACCTACTTCCAGTGTCACTTTAGCTGATGGATCTACCTCACCCGTTCTTGGATCTGGTACTGTTGTTCCAACTTCTACATTACCATTATCGCCTGTTTTGAGTCTTCCTAATTTTGCATTTAATCTGCTTTCCATCAGTAAGATCACTCGTACTCTTAATTGTTCTGTAACATTTTTTCCTGGATATTGTGTGTTTCAGGATCTGTTAACGAAGCAGATTATTGGTAAAGGACATGAGTCAACTGGTCTTTATATTTTGGATACATCCATCACAAAAGGTATCTCTTGTCTTGGGGTTGGGACTTTGTTAGATGCTCATTACCGATTAGGACATCCATCTCTCCCATTAATGAAGCAAATAAATCCCCAATTTAATAAGATGACCTCTTTACAATGTGAGTCATGTCAATTTGCGAAACACCATCGTACTAGCTTAAGCCCGCGAGTTAATAAACGAGCAAATGCTCCATTTGACCTTGTTCACTCTGATGTTTGGGGTGCTTGTCCGGTTGTGTCTAAAGCTGGTTTTAAATATTTTGTTACCTTTGTTGATGACTATTCTCGTATGACATGGTTGTATTTCATGAAACGTCGATCTGAGTTGTTCACTCATTTTTCTTCCTTTTGTGCTGAAATTAAAACTCAGTTCAACGTTCCTGTTCGGGTGTTAAGAGGAGACAATGCCCAAGAATATCTATCTGCTACATTTAAGTCATTTATGCTTCAACATGGCATTATTCATCAAACTGCATGCGTTGACACACCTCCTCAAAATGGAGTTGCAGAACGAAAGAACCGACATCTGTTAAAAACTGCAAGGGCTCTTCTATTCCAAATGAATGTGCCGAAACAGTTTTGGGCAGATGCCGTGTCTACTGCATGTTTTTTGATAAATCGAATGCCATCTTCTGTTTTGAATGGTAAAGCTCCTTATCATTGTCTATTTCCAAACAAAGAGCTTTTTCCTATCCCACCTAAAATATTTGGTTGCACTTGTTTTGTTAGAGATGTTAATCCTCATCTTACAAAGTTAGATCCCAAATCATTAAAATGTATTTTCTTGGGTTATTCTCGAGTCCAAAAGGGGTATAGATGTTTTTGTCCGAGTACTGGTCGGTATCTTGTTTCTATTGATGCATCATTTCATGAAAATACACCTTTTTCATCATCTAAGGCAGATATTCATGAGAGTAATGATGATATACTCATTTACACGATGACTATTCCTGAGTCCACACTTTCGACAAATATTCCACAAGTTACTGTTCCTGACCTTAGGCCTCCCGTACATTTGGTATACACCCGTCGACACAAAGCACCTGATCACCCTCCACCGGCGATACCTATGATTACTTATCCTGATACTAGTTCGACTCCGATCTCATGTCCTGAACCAGTACCTGCATCTTCAGATCTTGTCTCCACATCAGATCTTGACCTCCCAATAGCACTACGTAAAGGTACACGGTCTTGTACTCATCCTATTTCTTCATTTGTGTCGTACAATCAGTTATCTCCTGCTTCATGTTCTTTTATTGCTTCCATTGATTCTATTTCTGTTACCAAATCTGTCAAAGAAGCTTTGTCTCATCCTAAATGGCGTCATGCCATGGTAGAGGAAATGAATGCTTTAGATCTTAATGGTACTTGGGATTTGGTTGACTTGCCTACAGGGAGGAAATCTATTGGATGTAAGTGGGTCTTTGCTGTTAAGGTTAACCCAGACGGATCTGTTACTCGGTTGAAAGCCCGATTAGTTGCAAAGGGTTATGCTCAAACCTATGGTGTTGATTATTCTGACACTTTTTCTCCTGTTGCTAAATTAACATCTGTCAGGTTACTTATTTCACTCGCTGCAACTCATGATTGGCACTTACATCAGTTGGACATTAAAAATGCATTTTTGCAAGGTGACCTTAAGGAAGAAGTCTATATTGAGCAACCTCCGGGATTTGTTGCTCAGGGGGAGTATGGTAAAGTTTGTCGACTTCGCAAATCTCTTTATGGTCTGAAACAGAGTCCTCGTGCATGGTTTGGAAAATTCAGTCAATCAATTGAACAATTTGGAATGATAAAAGGCAAATCAGATCACTCTGTCTTTTACAAACAAACAGAATCAGGTGTCACATTGCTTGTGGTGTCTGTTGATGATATTGTGATTACAGGGAGTGATAATGCAGGTATTTTGGCCCTTAAGAATTTTCTGCATAGTCAATTCCAGACGAAAGATCTTGGCTCTTTGAAATACTTTCTGGGAATTGAGGTAACACGAAGTAAGAAAGGCATATTTCTATCTCAACGTAAATATGTACTTGACTTACTAGCTGACACAGGGAAATTAGGGGCAAAACCAAGTACAACACCCATGGTTCCCAACGTGCAACTCACTCAAGAAGGCACACCGTTTGAAGACCCAGAATGATATAGAAGACTGGTTGGAAAGCTTAATTATCTCGCAGTCACTCGTCCAGATATTGCCTATTCTGTGAGTGTAGTGAGTCAATACATGTCATCTCCAACCATGGATCATTGGGCTGCAGTAGAACACATATTATGTTATTTAAAGGGTGCACCAGGACGAGGTATTGTTTATCAAAACCATGATCACATGAGAATAGAATGTTTTGCAGATGCAGATTGGGCCGGTTCTAAAGATGATCGAAGATCTACATCTGGTTATTGTGTCTTTGTTGGTGGTAATCTTGTATCTTGGAAGAGTAAGAAGCAGAATGTGGTTTCTCGTTCGAGTGCCGAATCAGAATATCGAGCTATGGCACAATCTGCATGTGAGATCATATGGATAAGCCATTTATTGACCGAGCTCGGACTGAAGACATCAATGCCTGCTAAATTGTGGTGTGATAACCAAGCTGCTATACACATAGCAAACAATCCTGTATTTCATGAGAGAACAAAGCATATTGAGGTCGATTGTCATTTTATTCGAGAGAAGATACAAAAAGGATTAATCTCTACAGGATATGTGAAGACTGGGGAACAACTTGGAGATTTGTTCACTAAAGCACTAAATGGAATTCGAGTTGGTTATTTATGTAACAAGTTGGGCATGATAAATATCTATGCTCCAACTTGAGGGGGAGTGTGAAAGTATATTAGAATATACTTTAGAATATGGTTTAGAATATATTAGGAATATACCATATATAGTATTATTGTATAGCATCTTTTATATGAATATTCTATCTTTGTAATCTATATTTATAGGGCCTTACCCTTCAATGAAACATACTGAAAATCTTTCCTCCACTCTTCAATATTATTCTAGTTTATATTTCAACACTCCGCGTGAATAGTCTATAAATCATGAAAGTACACACATAGCGAAGCTATTTAGTAAGAATTTTGCTAGGTGTACACAAATTGTGTACACCTTTGGTACCCCATATAAATATCTCCCCTTTTTTTTACCTCACTTCCTTTTCAATTCAAATTTTTACCCATCTTTCTTTTCTCTTCCATCCATCCATTCCTCCCGCCCCGTACTCCCGCACCCCCCTCGACTTTGAACCGCCATTCAGAAATACAAATGACAACCGAAGCCATCCATCCATATTCTTGTTGCGTGTCTAACACAATATGCATTTGTCTGTCATTCATATTTTCTTGTGTGTCATTTGTTTTGAATTGTCGGTTATATGTTTGGAGTTGTCTGGAGTTGTCTGTAAGGACTTTATAAATGTCTGTGATGTTATAAATACATGTCTGACGTTCATATTTCCTTGTCTGTTTTGTGTTCTGAGCTATCTGTATGTGATGTGATAGATAGATATCTATCATTCTTTTTGACTTGTCTATCTTATGTGGTATGCATTTTTGGACATGTCATAGGGCTTTCGAATTGCAAATTCCTGTCCGCGACCACTTCCCTGCTCAAATATCACTTTGTTCATAATTGAAAGACGATGCAACATTGGTGAAATCAGCTTTGTCACTTCAGCAGATTGCTCAGTTTCGTAATATGCCATGGGGTCATCTTCTTGATGTGCCAGACCTTCAGTTTTCTACGCGAATTGTCCATAGCTTGTTATTGAGGCTTCTGTATGACCAACCCAAAGACGAACTGTGGTTTTGCGTCAACGACCAGTTGTTGAAGTTTACTTATGCAGATTTTGAACGCATAACTGGGCTCCGTTCTACAGGGCCAACTGCGGTCATCTCCGATGATGATGAAAGCAATGGGACGTTGCTAGATAACTACTTTGGTGGTGCCACGAAGATCAACTTTAAGACGTTGACGACAAAGATGAAGTCAATTAAGCCAAAAAAGAGATGAGCTCGCGGTGATCCTCTTAAGCTTGCATGTGCTTTCTATGTGCAGTGTGTTTTACTACCAAGGAACAAGAAAACAAATATGAATTCACAGTTTCTGAAATTGGCTGATGACTTGGACAAATTCAAAGCCTACCTTTGGGCAAAAGAGTCCCACAATCTGATGGTTTCTCATATAAAGACTCTTATGGTTGGGCAGGGCGAGAGGTTCAAGGAGAGTAAGAAAGCCAATCCCAAATACAAAAACGCAAAGTTCACATTGCACGACCTTCCTCACGTCCTGCAGGTAATGTACACCTTATATTTCATTGTGTGTTTGTATTGTCATGTTGCATGAAACATATAGTTGTCTGTATGGCAAATATGTAATTTGAAAGACAAAAAATATTATTCTCTCACACAGAAAATTTTATTCTTCCACACAGACACTTCATTCTTTTATACAGACAATTCATTAGTGTAGACACACAACTTATTCTGCCACACATTGTTTTTGTTTAATTTTCTTTTGTGTTTTTCAGGTTTGGGCTTATGAGAGTCTGCCTGAGCTAGGACGGAGATGTGCTGAACGCGTTAGTAATCATGACGTCCCCTTGCTCAACTAGAAGGCTATGGGGTTCTTTCATTTTCAAAAGCTAAATGAACTAATTTTCAAGGATCATTACAATATAATGTATTTGTGTGTTTTTAAAATATTAAATTTTGCTTCAAAGTGTGTAAATTACTATAGCTTGTACTGCAGGAGGAAGACGAAGACGAGAAAGACGATGGTGAAGAAGCAGCGGTGAAGGATACTGAGGATAATGATGGCTTCAAAGCTAAAATGATGGACCGGAGGACATGGAAATGCTACGGGCGCAAGTAGTGTCTCTGGAGGCAAGGCTAAAAGTAATGGAAAAGAGGATGAATGTCTAGAGTGTGGCTGAAGAGAAGCATGCCGAAGATTAAAAGTAATGGAAGAGAGGATGAATGTCGGGAGTGTGACATGCTTCTCCTCAGCCACACTCCCGACATTCATCCTCTTTTCCATTACTTTTAGCCTTGCCTCGAGAGACACCACTTGCGCCCGTAGCATTTCCATGTCCTCCGGCCCATCATCTTAACTTTGAATCCATCATTATCCTCAGTATCCTCCACCGCTGCTTCTTCACCATCGTCTTCCTTGTCTTCGTCTTTCTCCTGCACGTACAAGCTATAGTAATTTACACACTTTGAAGCAAAATTTAATATTTTAAAAACACACAAATATATTACATCGTAATGATCCTTGAAAATTAGTTCATTTAGCTTTTGCAAATGAAAGAACCCCGTAGCCTTCCAATTGAGCAAGGGGACGTCATGATTACCAACGCGTTTAACACATCTCTGTCCTAGCTCAGACAGACTCTCGTAAGCCCAAACCTGAAAAATAAACAATTTGTGGCAGAATAAGTTGTGTGTCTACACTAATGAATTGTCTGTATGAAAGGAAGAAGTGTCTATGTGGAAGAATAAAATTTTCTGTATGAGAGAATAATATTTTTTGTCTTTCAAAATACATATCTGCCATACAGACAACTATGTGTTTCATGCAAACATGACAATACAAACACACAATGAAATATAAGGTGTACATTACCTGTAGAACGTGAGGAAGGTCGTGCAATGTGAACTTTGCGTTTTTGTATTCGGGATTGGCTTTCTTACTCTCCTTGAACCTCTCGCCCTGCCCAACCATAAAAGTCTTTATATGAGAACCATCAGATTGTAGGACTCTTTTGCCCAAGGGTAGGCTTTAAATTTGTCCAAGTCATCAGCCAATTTCAGAAACTGTGAATTCATATTTGTTTTCTTGTTCCTTGGTAGTAAAATACACTGCACATAGAAAGCACATGCAAGCTTGAGAGGATTATCGTGAGCTCCTCTCTTTTTCGGCTTAATTGACTTCATCTTTGCCGTCAACGTCCTAAAGTTGATCTCGGTGGCACCACCAAAGTAGTTATCTAGCAACGTCTCATTGCCTTCATTATCATCGGAGATGACCAGAGTTGGACCTATAAAATGGAGCTCAGTTATGCGTTCAAAATCTGCATAAGTAAACTTCAACAACTGGTCATTGACGCAAAACCACAGTTCGTCTTTGGGTTGGTCACACACAAATCTCAATTACAAGCTATGGACAATTTGCGCAGAGAACTGAAGGTCTAGCACATCAAAAGATGGCCCCGCGACATATTCCGAAACTGAGCAATATGCTGAACTGACAACGTTGATTTCACCAACGTTGCAACATCATATCTTTCAATTCTGAACAAAGTAATATTTGAGCAGGGAAGTGGTCACGGACAGGAATATGCAATTCGAAAGGCCTATGACATGTCCAAAAATGCACACCACATAAGACAAACAAGTCAATAAGAATGAAATATGAACGACACAGGACATCTATCTATCACATACATTTATAAAGTCCTGAAAGACAGCTCAGAACACAGGACAAACAAGGAAATATGAACGACACACATGTATTTATAACATCACAGACATTTATAAAATTCTTACAGATAATTCTAAACATATGACAGACAATTCAAAACAAATGGCAGACAAAAAAATATGAATGATAGACAAATGCATATTGTGATTAGCACGAAACAAGAATATGCTTACATACGTACATGATCCATTTTAATGACATAAATATGGCACATGATTGATGCTTGCTAATATTTTTTAGCCTTGGAGTATTCCCAAATTTGCTTTGGAGGGTAGAGCCCTATATTTTTATGAGATCATAATCATTTGAACCCATTTGGCAATTTTACAAACTTTTGGGAGATGGGAGCGGGTGGGTTGTGTTGAATCTTAGAATGTTCTTCCTATGATGCTCAGAAACTCATAGGGGGTGACATTTCTACTTTTCTAAATCTTTTATGTAACCTTTACGAAATGATAATTTTAGTCTCTATTAAAACCTTTATTACAACTGCTTTATCTCTAAATAATTCTTTAAAGTATTATTACAAGAAAATCCGAGGGGCACTTGTATACATTACAGAAAAAAGGTTGGAAACAACAAAAAACATGTATTTATAACATCACACTCATGTATGAACTCTTTATAGACAATTCAAAACGTGTGACAGACATTTCACAACACACAAATAGACAGACAAACAACTTTTAAATCACAGAAACATAATTAGGTCTTGTTTAATTAAATTAAATCAATTATGCACAAGTGAGTACTACACAAGGATGAAAATATTACCTTTCAGCAAGACTTGCCAAAGTAGTTCTCACCATACCTTCAAACTTTAAACACTCACTAATTTGAATGGATCGTTAAAGTCATCAAATCTCACACCAACTGATTTCCGGTCATTCAAGGTGTTTTCCGTTGGAGCAGTGCCTCGTCAATTGGAGCAGCGCCTTGTCGGTTGGAGCGGTGTTCGTCATTTGGAGCAGCTACGGTCGGTTGGAGCAGCGTCCGTTGTTGGGAGCGGGCTTTGTCGGTTCAGCCTTAGTTGGAGCAGTGTCTGGCCACCGATTGTGTGTTGGGAGCTTCGGTTGTCGTTCGGATTTCTGAATGGCGGTTCAAAGTCGAGGGGGGTGCGGGAGTACGGGGCGGGAGGAATGAATGAATGGAAGAGAAAAGAAAGATGGGTAAAAAATTTGAATACAAAAGAAAGTGAGGTAGGGGGGGTATTCATATGGGGTACCAAAGGTGTACAGAATTTGTGTACACCTAGCAAAATTTGGTAAAAACAAGAGGTATTTTAGTATTTATATGAGGTGCTAAGGGTTTTGTGTACAAGCAAAATTCATTTGGTAATGCCCTTTCAATAAATCAATGCAAACACACTCTACCCATAAATTAATTACTAAATATAATTTTGAATGTCATTTGTGTAGGAAAAAACATGATTCCAATGCACGAATAAGCGCCTAAGAAATGGAGATTACATATATCGAATACATACAAATATTGATACATCTCTACAACTTATATGATAAAGGATGTTTTTACTTGGACTGTAATTTGCTGGTCTGGTCTGGTCTGGTCTAGTCTGGTTTGATAATGTTTGGTCTCTTTGTATTTTTTTATAACTATCCAAGTCTGGTCTGGTATGGTCTAGTCTGGGACGAATTACAGTCCAAGTAAAAACTAAAAACATCCACTCATTATAGGGAAAACTGTCAAATAGGTCCTCGAACTATTATAAAAAAGTCAATTAAGTCCTTATATAGGAGACTCTGTCCGGCCGTCACGAATTGGGGCGGTTCCCGGTGGAATTTTTTGATGAAATTGTTTGAGCATCTTATTCATCAAGTATAGTTTACTCATACCAAATTTCAGCTAAAAATTCAATTGGGAACGCATTCAAATTAATTCGAGAACGTAAAAATGCGCAGTTATCTTCAAGAATTAATTTGAATGTGTTCCCGATTGAATTTTTAGCTCAAATTTGGTATGAATAAACTAGACTTGATGAATAAGATGCTCAAAAAATTTCATCAAAAAATTCCACCGGGAACCGCCCCAAATCGCGACGGCCGGACAAAGTCTTCTATAGAAGGACTTAATTGACTTTTTTTTATGAAAGTTCGAGGACCTATTTGACAGTTTTCCCACTCATTATATGACTCTTTTCTCCACATAACAAAAAGGATGATGAAAATATTACAAATGAGGTGATCTCAACCACTAGCGCAAGCAGACCGCCTTTACACACGAGCTCTAAAGGATCTATTGGGGAGGAAAAAGATCTTGTCCAGTCGGAGGAACATGACCCGTCGTCTGGACGCCACCGTTTGGGGCGGTTTTCGGTGGATTTTTTTAATGAAATTTTTTTAGCATGTTCCTCATCAAGCCTAGTTTATCTAAAAAACGTTTCAGATAAAAATTCGATCGGTAAGGCAGTCAACAAATTTGTGAAAATAATTGCGTTTTATAAGTATAATGTGGCGCAATTATCTTCAAAAAATTATTTGACTGTCTTCCCGATGGTATTTTTAGCTGAACTTTAGTATGGATAAACTAGATTCGATGAGAAATATGCTCAAAACATTTCATCAAGAAATCCCATCAGGAACTACCCCAAACGGAGGCGACCGGACCGAGGGTCTTGTCCCTCCGGTTGGACAGGATCATTCCTTCTATTGAGGACAATAATCTAACTCTAAGAGAGTTACTTTACCATGGAACTCTAGAATTTAAAACTATATTACTTTTTACTTGGATGGTAATAATGGATAAGTTAATTTTCTCTTTTCTGTATGATGTTCAAGTGTACATGGATTGTTTGTAAAAAAAAAGAATTTTCCGGTTGAAAGAGTTTTGACAATGTGTATAAAAACGATACAATTTTTAGTCATTTCGGAAACATTTTTTGTTTGTATCGGACATTTATTGGTTATAAATTGGATTTTTGTGATCCACATTTTTTTATTTGTGGTGTAAATTTAGAGATGAGATTATCAATGCAATTTTTTTCAAAACAATAATTTTTACTGTGTCTGGTGTTATAATTCTAATTGTGTCAAAAGTTATAAAAGTTAATGTCATTAGTTCATATTTGACGGCGAAGACTAGATTAACAATAATTCGGACATTTATAAATTCAAAAACATGGACACTACATTTCAAGGTAAGTATTTCAATGATTGAAAGTGTGATTTTTCTAGATTTTAATCAATTGCCGTTGACTGCTTTTTTGCTAATGCTATCACTACCATATTTTTCACTGGTAGGCTTTTTTGCCTACCAGTGACTATCACTACTCACTAGCTAGTGCTAGATTGGAGTCTTAGAAATAAAGTACATCCCTCCTTGAATTGTCTTCGAAATAGGGTTTTGCACATGAATCAAGAAAGTGAAAATTGTGTGATGGAGAGTTGTGTAGTGAAAAAAGAAATGTGCAAGAATATGTTAAAAATGTTGTAAACCACAATTTTTTTGCCAAAAAATAAAATTATTTTAAGAACGAACAAAAAAGAAAGTTGAAAGGCAATTCAGGGATAGAGTTCATGTAATATTAGTATTGACTTGAATGTAACAAATAGTCACTTTTGAAAGCGACTATTGAAAGGTATTCAAAAGCGAGATAATTGAAAGTGAGATTTGTGTCAGTTGTTTAAAGGAACATAATCAAAAGCGAGATTCATGTGGTAGTGTAACACACTAGTCGACGTTGTACCACCACCACCCTCAAACCCAAACCACCACCATCACCAATCTATAACCCTAGGTGTGCGCCGCGACCTATATGATATTATGATGCCCGAGTTGCCAGTGATTTAAATTCATCTTTAGTGTATCACAACGGCAACAACTTTGAGCAAAAACTCACTTCAATATCCAACGATAAGCTTCAAGGGACAATCTTCAGGCTCCGCCAGTGAAAAAGAAGATAACTACAAGCACCAGTAGGCCTGGACTCGGGCCGGGCGGCCCGACCCGGAATCGCCCCGGCCCGGCCCGGTGGCCCGGTCCACCGGCGGTTTGGGTCGAACCGGCCCGGTGGTTCCCGGTTCCGGGCCCGGGCCTTCCATATGGTGAACCGGCCCGGCCGGTTCGGGCCCGGTAGGAAATAATTTTTTTTTTATTTTTTTTTGAAAATTTTTTATGTTTTGGGTTAGATTAGGTATTTTGGTCCATTTGAGGTGGTTTGGGGTGGTTTGGGGTTGAGAAAGAGGGGTAGGGGATTAAATAAAGAAGCCAAAAAAAAAAAAAATAGGGCGGGTGGCCCGGCCCGGAACCGGCCCGGTCTGGCCCGGAACCGGCCACCCCCGGTTCGGGCTCGGGCCTCAATATTCTGAACCGAGGCCCGGCCGGGCCCAGGCCCGAGGCCCGAACCGGCCCGGTTCAGTCCACCCCTAAGCACCAGTGGTGAAGATGTCGACTTCGACAAACAACGCACTTTGATTACCAAGGGAAAATTGGGAAGATTTCGGGCGACAAGACGACGTGGGATAGCAAAGTGACGTGGAGTAAATGAGTGGGATGTAAACCAAACCATTGTAAGGTGGAATTAGGATATTATTTGGATGGTTGGTGTAACTCAATGGGTGGCCATCAACATCAAATATGCGTAAAAACACAATATTATTCAATAATTTATTTAATTGATTCTCCGGTCAAATTTTAAAGTGAAATTTGATAGACATAATCTACAATTAATGAAAAACATGCTCATGAAGTTCATTAAAAAAATTCCACACAAAAGCACCTCAAATAGAGGTGGCCGAACAACGATTCCAGTCAGAGAACATTTCTCTCTATATTGCACCTCAGGCCCCCATTGCATAGTGAGGCTTACGCGATATGCAATAATAAAAAACACAAGTACACAATACACAATTTTGATCCTTTCCTACATGTAACTTGTGTCATTAGATCAAACAAACTTTTTTTGGAACTAAGAGATTACAACGGAGGTAGTGTAAGTTTGATTCCCCAACTACCACTGCGATGTTGAAATCTTCGCCTACCCATACCTAAAACATGCTCAAGCTCACCATTGCATGTGTGAGAAATAACACATCAATTTTTATCCAAAATAACATACTCCGTTTATCACATGTAATTATGTAAATCTATACACAATTTTGAGGAAAATGACTCAAATAGAGAAGGGTTTTACGGAGTAAGAGATGCAAATCTCAACCAAGCTTTTGTTACAACTTACAATCCTCTGAATTATCTGTTTCCTATCCTGTGCCTCACTCATATTTCTGAATAGTAATCTACACTCTACCAACCACTCCAACCAGACACGGGTGATCAGTTCCAGCTTCTCTTGGGCCTGAAAATTTTGTGCAAGACAAAACACATAAGCAATGCCAGCCTCTGCCAATCCCCCACACAATCACAAACTCGTATTTCTTCTCCAAACTCATATTAAGTTTTTGGGGGTTTCTATTGAATTTCACCATCCCCACAACTATCTTTACTCCAAAAAATTGTACTGATTCAGGAACTTTTGTTAAAAAAAGTTCTATGATGGTTTTAAAGTGACCTTCAATTTTAAGTAAAATTCCTGTACCACTAGACGACAAGTAAGTTTAGCCAATTACTCTTTATAGTTTTTAACTCTCAGATAGTCAGATCAATTTTGGTATCATGTATGTCCCATTGCCCCAAGCCAGGATAAGGAGGGTGTTGTGGTAGACGCATGACGGCCAAGTATCACTTAGTCACAACACTTGACATGAATCGAAATATTCATGTGTCGATTCATGTTGGCGGACTCCAAATGTTTTGGAATCAAGGCTTGGATGATGTTTATGTACTCTTTATAGTCTTGGAAAATGAAAACAATTGTAGGGTATATGTTATTGTACATGAATTATAAAAATAAATAAGTTCTACCTTTACTCAAAAGGATTGTTTTTTTGAGATGTAGTAATTCATATATTCTTTAAAGAGTGTAGGTATTTATACTTTCTATTCTTTTGTCGTGAACGCCAGAACCAGGCAAGAGCCCCGAACGCACAGCTAGCAACTGCAATTGCAAACGCGGCCCCCACCGGAACGACAATAGCATTTGTTGAAGATACCGGTTCCTCAAGAGAGGGGTTTTCGTCACCTCCAAGAAGTTCCCTGTCCCTGTAAAGACTAACCAGTGTCTTCCCATAATAAGTGACCAAGAACTTGAAGACTTCGTCTTGATCCCAGTTGATCAACTTGCTTTCGTTGCCCTCCTTTTTGGTTTGGCCAAGATAACAAGATTGACAAAGCTGTTGGGGTGGCCAAACAGCTTTTGGGAATTTAGGGTCACCTGTTCTTAGTGAGGCTTCTGCTTTCATCAGTCTCTTGTTGACAGTGTTGTGTGCGTCCCACAACCAAAGGGCAAAATCACGGGCTTTGTTGAACGGAGTAGAAACCCTGCCGGTTTGGAGCATGGATGGATAGTATACAATGAGGGGTTAAATAAGTATCATGAACTTCAAATCTATAATGTTGACTACTCCCCATGAACATGAATTTTAAATTGACCAAATATCTAGCCAAATTTCAATCATAGCCAAAATTTAAGCACTCATATAATCAACTCTTTTGTTTTGGTCAAGTATGAGTGTTCGAGTTCCACGTACAGGACACCAACCTGACATGCTAATGAGACTCAATTACAACCAGGATTGATATTTGGCTAGAATTTTGAACAATGTTGACATGAACAGCCATTGCTAAATTATTTAAAGTTGTTGGGGAATTTAAGTGTATGATCTCTGATATAATCTTACCTTGAGCACATCTCATAGAAATGCTCCCTACACTCTTGACATATGAAAAAGTGGTGTATGAAATCACATGTAGTTTTGAAAGCCATCTCGCTTTCTGCATCGTCAACTCTTACGGAGAGGGAGTGTAGCAATACCCACAACCCACAACTGCATGGTAAATGAAGGTTATTGTTCTTGGTTAAGAGGAATCAACACAAATAAAAAAAATTACTACCCAAGTAATTATGGAAATTAACACACAAATAATTGCCAGAAAACCAAAAAAAACTCCTTGTCCCACTTTATAGGTCTTAATTGACATGTGATTAAATTTCCTATTTTCAGCCCATATTCAACAACAACAACATCCAAGCCTTAGTCCCAAATGATATTGGGGTCGGCTAACATGAATCGATACATGATATCGCCAAAAGGAAAAGAAAGGAAATAAAGATAAAAAAGATAAGCTATGATAAAAAAGATAATATAAAAGAGATGAATATACATATAAAAGATAAAATAAAAAGGAAAAAATAATATTTATATAAAAGGATAAAAGGATTTAAAAAAGGGGGGGAAGATGATACAAGATCACTCCTCCACATGAATATGCGCCCTCCACTTTTCTCTCCAAAGTCATACGCTCATCCAACCCAAAAGGGGAGGGGGAGATGATACAAGATCACTCCTCCACACGAATACGCGTCCTCCACTTCGCTCTCTCCCATATTATATTATTAATTTAGTTGTGGTTGGTACAAATCATAAAGGTTGTGCAAATGAGTCCAAAATTTATAATTATAAAGAGTGTATTGATAAAGGTAAAGAACAGGAAAATTCTTAAAACAGGAGAAAGTGTAAAACATAGCAAATTTTCTCAAATAGGAGTGTATCATTGTTTGCTTCCCAAAACAGGACTTGTGAACTCATATTTAGGGAAACTTTTGTTCTTTTAAAAGGACAAAATAAGTCTCATTTTAGGAACAAAACATACTTAGTCCTATTTTGGAAATATGCCTATATTTTACTCCTATTTTGAGCAATTTTTTTAGGGAAAACTATCAAATTGCCCCCCGTAGTATTTAAAAAAATCAAGTAAGCCCTCAAACAAAAAAACAATCCAATTGAGACCTTAAACTTTACAAAATAGCTCAAATTTGTAATCTAGTAGGTTTATTCTTGGTTATCCGGTCATTATGCTGAAGTGGCAGTCCAAGTGGATTATTTAACTTATTTTTTTCCTTTCCACCTGTTTTTCTTCGGCCGCCCCCAACCCCCATCATTCTCCACCTCACCCACTTCTATCTTTTTCCAGACAAGAATACGGCATCCTTTCTCCCCCTGCTTCTTTCATCATCCAGGCAAGCAACAAGAGTCGGTGATATCCTAAGGTAATTTGTATTGCCTTGCCAATGACTTGTGTTGAAGACGAGGACCTCTTTGCCGACGAGGAAGCTCAAGAGCTCTGCCGCCCAAGTCGCCGGCGATCTGACGAGCTCATTTTAGGGAAAAGCTGTTTGTGCAACGTTCTTCTCAGATCTGGAAGTGGTCAGAGGTCTTACAGAGCACCATCTCCGACCTGGGTTGAGCCTCCGGCGACCTGGGTTGGTATCGGACTATGCTTTGTGCTCGCCGGCTAATGAACGATGTGTGGCAGAAGAAAGAAGAGAGGGTGGGGGGAAGGAGAAGAAATGGTGGGTGGATGGAGAAGAAGGTGGAGGAAAGGAAGGAGGTGAAGGCTGCAATGGACTGGTTGAAGGAGGAAGAAGGTGCAGGAAAAAGAAATCATCATCATCATTACCCCAGTGCCGCAAAGGCTCCCATCTACGATGGGGTAAGGGGGGGTCGGATGTACGCAGTCTTACCCCTGTACTAAAGCACCGAGAGACTGTTTCCGGATGACCCATAGTGAAATCTGCGTCAAAAATTGCATGCACTGACTACTGCTTCATAATAACGAAGCGCAGACAGTTTAGTGAGCTATTTTGCTTTATTCCATCATATTCCCAAGCCAAAAAATAGCGAGTCTTTGGCTTCATTAAAAATGATGGAAAAGTGCAGGAAAAAGAAAATATAAAGAAAGGGGGGGGGGCAACCGGTATATTACCGGATAAAAGAGAAGATTTGCCATTTATAAATGAGTCCGGGGGTTGGATTGAGCGAATTTTCAGTTCGGAGGCTTAATTGATTTTTTTGGAAAGTTGAGGGGCTTATTTGATAGTTTTCCCATTTTTTTATTATATTCTTATTCTAGTTGTAGTTTGTACAAATCATAAAAGTTGTGAAAATGAGTTCACATTAATAATTATAAAGAGAAAGAAATGATAAAGGTACATATCAAGTGGTGTTTAAAAAAGGAAAGTGGCCATAGTTGTGAAAAATAAAAAAGGCAAGTGGGACTCCAAGCATATAACAGTGTGAAAACATTTCAGCATGATTATCATCTCCGAAATCAATTACCTTCCACTTGATTGGGCAGTTTACGTTTCATAGTGCTAGAAAATAAAAAAGTTTCTTGCAGATTTCTAACCAATAGAAATATAAAATCAAGTATAAATGTGGTTAGGATTAGAAGTCCATGCGCACAGAAGCGAAAAATCAGCACATGAAAGAGAAAGGGGAAAACTACCACTTCTCTATGCACATAAATGATAGATTTTCAACACTAAGTCCAATACTTCACCAATTACCAGATGATTGAGTCATTGAGAAACAAAACTGAAAATTTTAGGAAGGACCCGAAGAGTGGAAGACAAAGTCTTCACTGAATCACTGCATCAGAAAAGGAAGAGAACCAGAGAAAAAAAGATATTGACCAATTGGAAGTGGGATTACGATCAATACTGACAAATTCAGAGGGAGATCAATTACCCAAAGAAGAAGAAATTTAATTTTGTCCATAGTTCTTGCAAAAGAGACTACTTATATTATAGGGGGTAAACTGCTTTCCTTTAAATGAGTATTGAATTATGCAACACTCCAAGTCTCTAAGATAAAGAAGATAATAGAACTACGGGACAAAATTTCATATCCAAATATGATATTACACGAGCATAAAATACTGAGGGCACATATCAATGACCAAGTATATAAATGCTTTGTTACCTGAACCCCCTGGTTTCATTTGTACTTCCACAACAAAACATCTGCAAAAAATGGCTATAGATTATTAAAACTACAGACAGGTAATTCAAATGTAAATTTGAGAGAAAAGGATAACAAGCATGAAATATTGATATCTATTATGTGCAACATAGGAAAGATTTAGTTGGATATTTATCAAAACATGCATAAAAAAGGCAGCCTGGTGCACGAATGCATCCCGCAAGGAGAGGGTCCGGAGAAGGGTTCCACCACAAGGGTGTATAAGGGGCAAGCCTTACCCTGTCAAATTTTTGACAAGAGGCCGCTCCCAAGACTTGAACCCATGACCTCTCCGTCACAAAGCAACACCTTAACCGGTGCACCAAGGCTGCCCCGGAAGGTGAAAATGGTTTAAAGTGCTAATCAAAACATAAATTGCTAGCAATAATTTAAGCAAAAGAAGACCTACTCATGAGAGCGAATGGAAAAGTAAATTAAAAAAGGTAGTCTGGTGCATAAAGGTTTCCCCGCAAGGAGAGGGTCCGGGGAAGGGTCCCACCATAAGGGTATATAAGGAGCAAGCCTTCTTCACAAGGGTGTATAAGGAGCAAGCCTTCATCAAATTCTAACAATGAGCCGCTCCCAAGACTTGAATTCGTGACTTCTTGATTACACAGCAACACCTTACGGTGCGCCAGTGCTGCCCCTTCAACACAGGGAGGCTTGTGCTATATATATGATAGGAATCTGGGTTTTGTAGGCTATTAATAAGAAATAATAATATTAATAATAGTATAGGTACTTGTAGTAGTTTTAACAGAAGGGAAGGGGTTATTAGTAATATCTAGCATATCCATATGTGGGTATTGGCTATAAATAGAAGGGATAACAACGGGTGAGGCAGACTGTTATTTTGATTCGTGTGTTGCCTTGTTGCCTAAGAAGTCCCGGTTGCCTTTGTTGCCTACGTTGAGATATTTCCTATCAATAAACATCATCTTCCCTATCATTTTATCAGATATGTGTTGCTTGTTACTGTATGTGCTCAGATTATTACCAGGTTCCTATCATTGGTATCAGAGCAATCGCTCCTGGGGATCACAAGTGAAGTGCGACTGCAGTAGAGTTCTCGTTTCAGCATCGTTTCTCGTTTCAGCATCGTTGTGAGGTAGCGACGTCAACTTAGCTTTCATTTTCTGAAGTGCGATTACTGCAGAGCACCTGCTCCTGGAGATCGGATTTGAAGTGCGGCTATACAGAACTAGCGTTTCAGAGGAGGAAGGTCAGAAGGAGAGAGAAAATGGAAAATCGCAGAGATACGTTGGGACGGGAGATGAAGATGGCTATGGCAAACCTCGTGACCACGTTGAATGAACAGATTCAGAGCACCATGGCGGCATTGATGGCGGAATTCGCAGCCTCTGTGTATCCCAGTTTGTCGCCAAATGCGCAGGTTTCTTCTCCTCACCGATCGACATCGCAAACCAGTTTCCCTGGATCGCAATCGCTAACAGCTGCGTCCAGTTTGCCGTCACCAACAGCGGCATCTCCCAGTTCATTGCGAACTGTTTCTACTCGCAGATCTTCATCTCCCTTGCAATCAGCTTCACAACGAGCCAAATCTCAACATCAACGAACAAAGGATTCTGAGCGTCTAGCTGCGTCGGAAGGTAATTATCATCATTCTCGCTCTAGTATGGGTCGGGATAGCGGTAGAAGAGATATTCCTACTGGAAGTAAGGTTGAATTTCCGTGGTTTAATGGAGATAAAGTAGACAAATGGATAGTTAAGATGGAAGAATACTTCCGACTCAAAGCTACTGTGGAAGAAAGGAAAGTTGAAATAGCAGAAGGAGCTATGGAGGAAGAGGCGTTTGAATGGTTTCAATGGTGGCAATTTCAGACGAGGGAAGATAGTTGGAAGGCTCTGAAGGAATCCATAATTAGGCACTTCCAGCCTACACGCAGTCTGAACACAGGGAATCAGTATACGCGATCGCAAAGAACTTCTCTCAGTTCGCAATCTTCTACGCGAATTTCCTCTCTCAGTTCGAAATCGCAAAGTTCGAAGCTATCATATCCTTCCGGTTCGCAGGGGTCTTCACAAGCAATCTCACCTAATTCATCAGCTTCATTGCAAACAGTTTCTCTGAGTTCACAGGTTCCTTCGCAAACGCGAACTGTTCCTTCCTGTTCGCATGCATCATCTCTAGGCGAGTATCCCAGTTCGCAGGACTCACAGCAGGTTTCTTCGCATATTTCCGCTTCTCACAGTCCACAAGTGGAGTCTGTGTCAGTCTGTGAGTCAGCTAGAACTTAACTCTGAAGACACACTCATCAATGGTGATGAGAAACGAGGGGAGGAGAAATCTTCTGTGAGGAATCAACTCTCGAGTGCCCTGGAATGTGAGTCTGCTGATGAGAACATTGCTGTTTCAAATATTTCTGAATTGGAGAACCAAGTGGTTCCTGAAATCTATATAGGTGCTGAGCTGATAAATGCATTCCCTGAAGGAATTGCTATACCTTGTCAGTCCAACTTAATATCTACTACAGCATATAAGAAGGCCAGGAAAGAAGAGATGGGTGTGAACTGTGAACAAGGAGAAAACTGAGAAAATAGAAGAGGGGAATGATGGAAAGAGGCTTCAGGGAACAATCCGCGCAGATACTGATGCTACTAAGGATTGTGATTTAGATCCGAGCTCTGAATCAAACTCCAGTTATCAGGTGGCACCAAAGAGGAAGTTAGTTGGGCATCTTACTATTTTGAAGAAATTCTTGTATATTCCTGGTGCATTGGGGACCTAAGTAGCACCGGGACGGAAACGGAAACGGAAATGGGAACGGAAACGGGGACGGGGAAACACTTAACTCAAAATATCAGGAAACGGGTACGGCAAGGAAACGTCAAGCTAAAAATTAATTTTTTTTACTAATATAAGTAATGTGTATGTCCAACAAATAGAAAATAATTAAACAAAACATACGTCCTTGTTATAATCCAATCTCCATACGCAATAAATAAAATTTAAAAAGTAAATGTTTCATTGCACCATCACTAACTTCTGAAGTACGTTCCATATTTGAGGATAAAGAAAGGTCCATAGCACTTACTAGAACTTATAAACAATTGAAATTGAAACAGCGAAGCCTCTCACCCAAAAACCCCTTGCCTTCTCTTCGGACCCGTCCAGCGAACCAGCACTCCCAGTCCAGGCGATGATGATGGTCTCTGTGTCAGCAGACCAGCCGTGAGCCGTCAGCCGCCCAGCTTGTAGCAGTCCAACGGTTGAAGCAAATAACCCTTACGCAAGAGCCAAGCTTCGGTCGCAGGTATTTTTTACAAAGAAGACATTAAACCCGATCGATTGCCCAACCCTTTTCTTTAAAAAAAAATTCAGAAGAAACGCGTCGGCCCACATGGATTGCCGTTTCCGAAACGTTTCCCCAACCCGGCCCAACAGCCCAAGACCTGAGAAACGTTTCCTTGCGTCTCCCCTGCGTTTCTCGGCGTTTCCCGGCGTTTCGCGTTTCCGAAACGTTTCCGGGACGGAAACTTCCCCTCGATTCACGTTTCCGTGCTTCCTAGTTGGGGACTCATGTTACTACATTAAGTAAAGAGGTTAATATTGCCCATATTGGAATACTTGATAGTGGCTCAGGACTAACAAGGGAACCTGCACTCATGTCACAAGCTTAAGAAAGAGCTCATGGACAAGAACAAAAGAATGCGGTCAACTTCTATATCCTTTGTGCAAAGGATGCCTCGGGTGAAGTCCATTGGCAGAATTTATATAAGGGTTTGCATCGGGTTTCACTGGCAGTAAAGGGAAGGTATGAGGCATTCCAGAAAATAGAGGATGCTCCGAGGGCTACCAAAGCTGGCAATTCTTTACTGGAGACACTAGGTATAATTGAAGGTTCTCTTTCTGAAGATGATGGAAATGGATATGAGTATATCAATGGTGGACACCTGTTGACAACCTACACTGCTAAACCTTCTTCTTCAGTTGCTACCTTGATAGTGGCCAATACTGAAGGATTGTGGAAAAGGTCAAACCGCTGCTTACTTGTAAACCTATTGGTTGGTAAAGGTGATACGCTTGAGTCATTTGTTACTAATGGAGAGCCCTTGCAAACAGCTATGCCATCAGAGAATGAGGAATCAAGGTTGGTAAATAGCAAGTGAAGTTTTGGAAGGGCTGCATAAGTTTGATGGCTTCAGATTTGATGATAAAATTCCTGTGAAGTATGTCCGAAAAGGTGTGGGGGTAAGAGCTACTGGAACCTGGAAGGAAAAGGTTGGTTATATTACTGGTGGATTCCTTGACATCTTCCTGGTGCTTGACAATGAATTCAATTCATCTATCTTCCAAACAGCCTTGATAATTGGTGAGAATGTAAGGAGAAGGCTGATAGGTTGTATACTAGTTCAAAGGGAGGGTGCAGGAAATGTTGAGGCCAATGCCAGCTCTCTTTCACAGCTTGCTTTACTCGAAGGGACAATTGCTGAAGCTGCAATGGGCCTAAGCGAGGTATTGATGAAAGCTGCATCCTACAGAGTGATATGTGTACTGGTTGGTGGCAGGTGTTAGTTGATCTGATTATTACAGATCTTAAAACTTCAGATAAAACTGTGGTATCAACTGATATTGATTCAGCCAGTATGATCCCAAGTCTATTACGCAGGGATTGTGAGAGGGGAAGCAAACAGATTCTGATATTAATGAATTCTGGGGCCACTCTTAATCTCATATCTCAGAAATTGATAGAGGTGGTACAAAAGTACTATAAAGCAGCAGTAATGTTTCAAGCCAAGATGGGGAAAGGAGAGCATATATCACTCCAGAGCAGTTGTGAGGTACTACAGATTTGGGTACACCATCTAGTGATGACTGAGGACTCCTATTTGTTAGATCTTGGAGAGATTAATGTGATTCTGGGAATGGGACCACTAGCCAATCATGGAAATGCAGAGAAAATTTTCAGTAAACACAGCATAAAATGGTTGGGAGAGGGGCAGTATGCAACAAAGTCATTGTCTCTATTCTTTCTTGCTATGCTCTTTCGGGCTATGAAAGGAGTGACCATGAAGGTTGGAATCAGGAAAGTATAGGTTCAGAAATCTGTGAGGTATTGGGAAGGAAGAGGTGCAAGAATGAAGTGCAAGTGGAAGATCATGGCTGATTCCTATCACCCGCCTTGAGGACAAGGTGGTTGTTTAGGGGGGGAGCAATGATAGGAATCTGGGTTTTGTAGGCTATTAATAAGAAATAATAATATTAATAATAGTAAAGGTACTTGTAGTAGTTTTAATAGAAGGGAAGGGGTTATTAGTAATATCTAGCATATCCATATGTGGGTATTGGCTATAAATAGAAGGGATAACAACGGGTGAGGCAGACTGTTATTTTGATTCGTGTGTTGCCTTGTTGCCTAAGAAGTCCCGGTTGCCTTTGTTGCCTACGTTGAGATATTTCCTATCAATAAACATCATCTTCCCTATCATTTTATCAGATCTCTGTTGCTTGTTACTGTATGTGCTCAGATTATTACCAGGTTTCTATCAATATATCCCTATGGTGTGTGGAACATATGCTCAGAAGCCAAAAATATTGGACCATAGATCATTTACAGTGCAGTCAAAGGACCAAAATAGCTAACACCCACACCACGCAATTGCTCAAATACAACAAACACTGAAAGAACCAAATGCCATTAACTTCTCACTATTAAGGAGCTTTACACAATTACACATACCCAATACCCGCGCGGAGCTTCGTTACCGCAAATCTGGTACTTCCCTAGAATGCCTTTTTTAGTACAACTGGGAACTTCTTCATTTGCTGACAAAGCATCAGACGGACATAGATCATCAAAGTTAACAAGTATATCTGCACAACCCCTTCGACATCTGTAATTGACAATTCCCATTGACAGGTTGAAAAAAACATATGTACCCAAGTATACAGACTACCAAAGAGAAACACAAAAAATGCAGAGTTTAAACCTTCTAGAAGGGTGATGAGCAACCAAAAGTTGAAGGAATTTTACAAGTGATGCTCTTGTATCTGAATTTATCATCTGCATTTGCAGGTGAAGCAATATAGAATGTCAATATGGGTAATATGAAGAGAAATGAGAAATTAGAAACACTGGAAACTCTAGTATTTGACCTTGTGCCTCAAGATGATATCGAAAGCAGTAGATGTTGCCTCCTCAACGTCATATACAGCTCTGGCTATCTTTCACAAGGAAAATATGAAACGTGCATAAGAAACTTACATACTGAAGAGACAAAGAACCAAATTCACATTCGTGTTTTTAATAACAACCTGCCCGGGATCTGAGATATTTGTCTGAAGCTGTTCATTCTGGTACTTTTCATCGTCCAATCCATATGAACTGAGATTTTAAAAAGGAAAAAATGAGGACATTCTTATATTCTTAACAGGATATTGAGATACTAAAAAGAGATTTGTTACAACTACTATGCATGAAATCGGAACTTGCTGATGGGCAAATGGTACTAGAAACAGTAGAAAGTGACCAAATGCATGAGTGATGAGACAGAAACAAAACAAGTTGATTACTCAGGGGAAAAGGAATACCAGTCCAAGAAAGGCAAAATCATAAACTAATATATACTTAAATACCCTCGAGGCATTGCAGTTGCCATATGTGACATTGGGCAGGCCATCATACTTTCCTTCCCAATAGAAGTACAGAACAAAGTTTTGAATTCACAAAAACTAGGCGACTAGAAGCCCCAGACACTTTTTTTTACCTTCCCAGTTTCTTATTGATCCACTCTAACAATAGACCCGATGTTCGCCCATCATCAATTGGAACTATGTCACTTTTTTCCTGCTTAGGCTTCCAACTTCCACCAACAAACTTAGTAGGAGGCCCCCAGAAAAGCATCGGGTAATGCCCCACAGAGAAATTATCACAAAGATTTGAATTTATCTGTGCTGCCAAGAAAGTCAAACAAAAACATATAAGCAATAAGGTAAAAGTAATCTCTGCATGTAACATAATTGACCAGACATTAGAGTAATATAAGCAACATTGTGGTTTGAATTCAGAGTGTGGCATGGCACGACCCCCCCCCCCCCCCCCCCCGCAGAGAACAACTCAATGCTTTCACTGGGTCAATTATCTACCAATTGAACCCTTCTCAACCAAAAAAGGAACTTACCTTGTTTGAACCCTTTTCCACCAAAAAAGTGAACTTACCTTGTTGATTAGAGTGAAAATCAAAATAGATTTGGCTTAACTACAATGTAAGTTACAAGAATAATTCAATGTTGTTTAAATCATTTTAAAGTAAAATGAAAGCAACTGAATAAAGTGTAATTACACAAATAATACAATAATATGAAAAACAGAAACAGTAAAAATGGATTTTAAAAAATGTTTATATTCACCAAAAAAACACTCTTTAAATGTTCACAAGAACAGCATAAAAAAACATGCACATAAAGCTTTGAAGAGAACCACATAAATAGATTATGTGGAAAAAACATTTTTCAAATAAAAAAGTTATGTATGTAAACTTCAAAGAGCGGTGATTTCCTGATTCGGAATGGTTTCCATTAAGAAAACACCCTCAAATGGTTTGTTCCATATCAGCAGCTTTTTTAAGTTAGAAACATGTTTCTAAATCAGATAAGTGTTTCTCGCCCCATAACAAACCTTGAGAGTTCACTTGAGGTTTCTCGTGCTGTCGTGCACACTTGTTGGTCAGTATCTCATCATCTCAGTTTCACAAACAGGTAGAGTTATGTTTAATTGTCACTTTATCAGACTGATATATGAAATATAAGTAATATTTTCTTCAAGAAATGGCGTAAGGTGTATTTTGCTTGTGATTATCGAGTGAACTGATTGAGTTATGAATTGTGTATATTTGCAAGTTTAATGCTATATCTTTTATAATCAAGTTCCACCCATTTTTCTGTTTCTTTTTTTTTTTGAAGAATGCTGCTTTGTTGCTTCCCATTTCCGTGCATCATAGAATAAAAATGAATGTCTCTGTGACCAACTTATTTACCAAAAGCATTCACTAGAGTGTAGAACAAGCCAGTGTTTCACTTTCACTAGTTCTATACTCAATAGCCTATGAAAAGAACACTGTTTCCACCCAAGATGGAAATTAGCTTATTGATCAGAGTGAAAACCAACATGCATTTGGGTAAAGTAAAATGGAAAAGGATCATAAGAATTAACCGAAAATGTTTTGAATCGGTTTAATGTATGATAAAAGTAACTGAAAAAGGGAAGTATATACAATAATATGACAAAAACAGTATAAATGAATTCAGAGATTTTTAATCAACAAAAAAGGCACTTTTTACATACATGCTTAAGAGAACAACATAGATAACATGCACGTAAAGCTTTTAAGAGAAGCACAGTAATGGAATAACTCTAGTTCTATCTCAGTTTGACTTTTTTCTTCACCTTCACTTTCCCCCTTGGTTTCACCTTCAGTTTCCCCTTTGGTTTCACCTTTGGTTTCACCTTCAGTTTCCCCTTTGGTTTCACCTTTAGTTTGACCCTCAGGTTCATTTTTGGTTTGACCCTCGGCTTTATTTTTTTTTTACTCTCAGTTTTACCTTTGGTTTCACCCTCCGTTTTATTTGGAAAAAATATTGTCAAATGTCAATAAAAAATGAGATGCGTATAAACTTCTAAGTGCAGTGTTTTACTGATTCTGAAAGGTTTCCAAAAGGGAAACACCCTAAAATGGTTTGGGACATTATCCAGTTTTAAAAAGTTTGAAACCTATTTCCAAATCAGTACGTTTCCGGCTCCAAAACAGACTTGACAGTTAACTTGGGGGTTTCTCGTGCACACTTGTCGCTCAGTATCTCATCCTCAATTTCAGAAACCGGTAGTTATGACTTTTAGGATGTTTTTAGTAGGACTTATTTGAGTCTCAGACTAGATCAGATTCAAAAATACCAGATCAAACCAAATCAGACCAAATAAACATAGACAATAGTAAAATACACATAAAACAGACCTTTACCAGACCAGAAAATTTCAGTCCAATTAAAAACATACTCAATTACTGTACCAGTATATGAAGTACAAGTAAAGCTTCTATTACAAATGGAGTAAAATGTATTTCGTTTGTATTTATCTAGTGAACTCAACGAGTTATAAACTGTGAATGTATTTGCATGTTTAACCCTATATAGTTTATAATCAAGTTTCACACACTTTTTTGTTTCCTAAGTTTTTTATAATACATCGCTTTGTTCTTTCCCATAATAGAATATATCTCAGTCACTAACTGATTCGCCACAAACATGCACTAGAGTTCAGGGAGATTGGAAGAGTAACTCTTACTATAAGAACTACTGCATTAAGCAAATTAATTCACTATGGTGATGTAATGCTATAAAAAGGAAGATCTAATGATTATACAGTACAGAATGCAGTTACAAAGTTTTCTCTCCCTTGTGAGCATAGAAAGGAAAAATCAATGCGAAAGAAACAGTGAAGGTTTTCATGACTCTAGATTGTATTATCAATACCACTGTGTTTACCATCAGCTAAAAGATACAGAAGGAATTTCACAGTTGGAAATCAACTAGCCAGTTTATTATGTAATTGGTTTTTGTCTCGCACTCTCGCCTTTCTCCCTCCAGTATCTCTTCCTCCTTAATCTACTGTTGTTTTTTAATGTTTGGGAACAATTTAAGAAATCAGAAGTATAGTAGTAGTAAATAATAGTACCCCAACTGCACAGTCTACCCTTGTCATCAATATGATTCCTGGATGAATAGCATCTGCGCCATTAAATAGCCGGGCAACCTTCTCGTAATGTGGCTGTCATATTTTTGTTCCAAAGATAAGAATTGAGAAGTATTGTAATGATTACTCAATCAAGACAAACCATCAAGATACCTTATAATTTCTGCATGCAGGGCACCTGCAAGACAAATACTAATATTTAAGAAAGGAATAATAAAATGAAATGACTTGCTTATTTGCTATTGTTGATGTAAATTAATTTACTTCTTTTACAGTTTTGAGGGCAGCAAAAATGACAACATTTGAAATACGGAAAGGACAGTAAAAGAGCTGAAATTTGATATTATGAGAAAAAAAATCGTACAATGAAACCATTTCTCAACCCAAAATACATAGCATTTCTTTCAATTTGAATGATAAGTTGATAACAGAAAGGGGAACAGGAGAATGTGAATGAAAATTCTTTTAATATATAACTCAATTGCTAAATCTAACCAGAGAATCTTAACTATTAAAATGTTCAAAAAGATTTTCCAGAAATGTAACTCTAATTCACCTATACCAAAATCCTTTTTTATTTTACCATTAAAATAATTCCGTAGGAAAAAAATTCCATGAAATTATTTTCCCTGGATTTGTTTTGCATTGTATAAGAGAATAACCAAGTACAATCAGACTGTCAATCAGAAAATTTTCCCCATAGGCCTCACATAGCATGAGCACTATTTGTGCAGGAAACAGGTAGATAGGTGATACTTTGCAAAAAGTATAAATAAAAAATCATCAATGGTCAAATCCCAGATGTAAGGAAACTGCCAATAACTTCTCCGAGTGTTGACTCATTTCCTAACCAGTCAATTAATAATGCTTTAGTTCAAACATTTGTCATGACAAATTTATCAGTTTATCACCATAAAATGCTTGTTTCATGCTATTCAGCTATTGTCCTCAAGAAACATGTTGGGTAAACACAACTTTCGACCTCTTCCAGAATCACGAGCTATGAAGACTCAATCAAATAAATAGACTTTGCATTATATAATCAAATGAACATGCATCTCATTTCACTCGATCCAGTTGGGACTACTTCACTCAATCCAGTTGGGACTACTTCACTCTTCCTCACTTATGAGAAGCCTTTCTTGCTTCAAAATGAATGGCTCCAACTTCTACTTATACTTCTCACAAAAGGGTAGAGATTGACTTTCTCTAGAATCTTCCACATGCCTCTCTACATTCTAGATTCTTTCAAGAAGCCTCCACGAGCTTTTATGATCTTCTGACTCCACACTTATCTAAAACACTCTAGACTACTCTAAAACCTTCCACACATTTCTAGAGATTTCTACATTTCTCTAGAGACTAGAATATTCTAGAAAACTTCACAATATTCGACACACATCTAGAGAATACTATATTTCTGTAGATAACTCCACACTATTTTAGAGAATTCTACTCATCTCTGCATAGTTCTAGAATTATCTACAATTTCAAAATTTATTTGGAAATATTGAATTACATCCTAACAAAACACTTTCCAAAATTCATTTCCATAGTAGCACTAATAAAATTCAAACACTTTAAGGTGCATAACTACGTAATACACTAGCTCACATAAAACAACTATATGTATGATGTTATGATCCTGTCCAGCCATTCAGACAGGACCTTCCGTTCGGCCGCCGCCGTTTGAGGTGGTTTCCAATGGAATTTTTTTGATGAAATTTTGTGAGAATATTTTTAATGAAGTGTAGATTATGTCCACAAAATTTCAGCTTACATTTCAATCGGTCAGTTAAATAAATTATTTAAAAACACTACACCAAAATATATATACAATGCAATCTTCTTTCTATATTTTTTTTAACTGACTATTGAGTTCCGATTGAATTTTAAGCTGAAATTTTGTGAACATAATCTACACTTCGTGAAGAACATTCTCACAAATTTTCATTGAAAAATTCGACCGGAACTACCTCAAACAGTGGCGGCCGGATGGAAGGTCCTTCCGGATGGCTGGATGGGATGTTTTTCCTACGTATGATTATGTATACATATAATAAGATAAATTTCAATTAAATACGGAAAATGATAAAAGACATTGAAACTGACCAGTGAGCAAAGAACTCAACAATAGCGTAGGTAGCTGGAGTCTCTTTCAGAACTGTATCGAAGTTAGTGGCATTCAATTCCACGGCGTAGTCGTGCTTCCCCCCACGGCTGTCATCGCTGATCGTCCGGAGAATGGCTCGATGGGATCCGGCCGAAACGAATACAGATGCTCCAGAGCTCCAAAGTAACAACAACGAAAGTGTAACCAAAATTGAAGGAATCATATGTATATGTATATAATCTCAAGACGTGGTGGTGTATCGTGCATTAAATTCGAATCCGATCTGTTCTGGGTGGAGCTGAGAGTTGAAGAGCCAAAGATGGCGACGAGGACAACACTTCTCCCAGGAAAAACACTGTTACTGTGGCGATTAATTTAAACCGTCTTCCAGGCTCCAGCAGTCAAAATGAGCATTTTTTTTATGAGAGGATTTCAAAATGAAGAATAAAAACATGAAAAATGTCTTGACACCTTTAAGATGTTTTCTTTTGGACTGAAATTTGATTGTCTGGTCTGGTAAACATCTAATCTTTGTGTATTTTATAACTACGAAAGTCAAGTCTAGTCTGGTCTGATCTGGTCTGGGATTGAAAACAGACCAAAAGAAAACATCCTTAGTGTGTTTACACACACAAAAAAGATATATTAAATTATGAAGTTATAATTAACTAACGAAAATATGTTTTGTTTTTAACGTGATACTTATTTATTATCGCGGCCCGCACCGAAACAGTGCTTTACCCCTAGATGTCCACTCAACTGTTGTGCCTCAACGCATTTCGGGGATCAAAATTCGTTCTATACATATGACCAACAACGAGAAAAAGAAATGTAATTGCTAAATGATGGTGTGCCATATCAGTCAACCATAAACTTTGCGTTTGTATATGCTTGTTCAGCTAATTCAATAGCTTTTTTCATTGCTTTTCGAAAGGAAACTCTTTTCTTTAATTGTCCAGCTATAAATTCGGCAAGAATATTAGGATTTCCATACGGTTTTTCACCGCATCCTTGAGACCTTCCGGAATATATCAAATAGTTATTTGGGAGGATGTAAATTGAGCTTTGATATCACCCTGAAAAACTTTCAGGGAGTTTGATTTCACTTCAAGTCATTGCTTGGAGTTGTGGCTACTAGGGTTTCATCTCTTTCTTCTTTATTTTTTGAAATCTAGCATTGTCACTTATAGAGTAATACAGTGAGGTCAGAGATTGTTGTGCCACTTACCGAAATAGGAGTACAATTACCATGTCAGTGGGGCAATTGGCCGGAGGTGACAGTCTCCAGTCTCCGGCTAGGGATGGTTGTGAGTCATTGTTACAATTGTGAAAATAGATCACTGTTGATAGTGGTCATCACCATTGATGGTCTCTGGACAGACGAAGATAGTCATTGATTTGATTGGCGACAGTAATCAGTATTCCTTCACTAAAAAAATTAAAATCCCCAGCGGGATTCGATCCCCAGACCCGAAGTAAGGTATGCAGCCTTCCAACCATCTCACTGACTTTTCTTGTTGAGATAATTAGTTCTTTTATCTTACTTATCCTATATAGTTTCATATTGCGTTTTATTAATAGTAATTATAATATTAACTATTCTTTTGCTTTTGCTCATTATTACTATATTAAAAGACTAATTCATATTTTTGAAGTATTTATTTGATCTATGAATCATACTATTACTTTATATAAATATATTTATAATTTTTTTTTATATAGTGTTAGGTTCCTAATAAGCCTGATGCTCATCAAAAGTGTTTTAATACTCATAATATAGGTCTGATGAACATTAAAAGTTCATTAATGCTCATTTAACAGAAACTGTGATTTTCATCGCAATAGAAACTGTGATTTTCATCTCATTGATATGACATTGTAAAAATGAGCATAACATGAGTACCAAATGAAAATACATAACTTAATTACAAAGTGCACATTGATATGAAAATTGTAAGGTTTGTTAGTTGAACATCATGACATTTTAATTAAGCATCCAACCTCCACTATTGAGATGAAAATCACGACTTCTGGAGAATGAGTAATAATGAACTTTTAATGAGCATCATACCTATTCTGTTGAGCTTACTGAATACACAAATTGATATTTAAGCATACTCGAGATTTTAAATGAGCTTTTAAAATTTTTCTATGCTCATTTCGTAAATTAGCTATACTCATTTGATATTGGTGTAATGCTCATTTTAAAATGAGCATTACACGAGACAACTTAAATGTCATATCCATGCATATTGGCGTAATGCTCGTTTTGAACTTTTTGATACTCATTTCACACGTTATGTATTCACATTTAATATTTGATCATCAAACATCCGCTATTGAGATGAAATTCACGATTTCAGGTGAATGAGCAATAATAAACGTTTAATGAGCACCATACCCATTCTGTTGAGTATTAGGAGTCTAATATTGAGAATCGTGATCTCCGCTTCATAACTTCTAATTCACTTTCTTTTTGTTATTTTTTCTTTTATAAAATCTTATTAAATTATATTTATAAATTATAATCAACTCCTGTGAATTTCAATATGTGAATTAATGTAAAATAGTACTTTAAAAAATGCATTGATATGACATTTAGAAAATGAACATAAGATCTCTATCAGATGAGCATACGTAACTTACAAAATGAGTATTAATGAATTTGTTAGCTGCTTTGTTATTCGAACATCACGACATTTTCATTGAACATCAAACATCCTCTATTGAGATTGATGAAAATCACGATTTCTGTAAAATGAGCATTAATGACTTTTTATTGAGGATTCGACCTATACAAATGAGCATATGTAACTTACAAGATGAGCATTGATATGAAAATTGTAAGTTTTGTTCGTTGAACATTTACACACGCATTGATATGAGCATAAAATTAGTACCAAATGAGCATGTGTAGCTTACACAATGCGCATTGATAAAAAAATCGCGTTAATTGGACATCACGATATTTTCATTGAGCATCAAACCTCCTATATTGAGATGGAAATAATGATTTGTATTAAATGAGCATTAATGAATTTTTAATGAGCATCAGACCTATACAAATGAGCATATGTAACTTACAAGATGAGCATTGATATGGAAAGTGTAAGTTTTATTCGTTGAGCATCAAGACATTTTCAATGAGCACCAAACCTCCGTTATTGAGTATTAGAATCTGCGATTGAGTATCATGATTTGTGGTCTCATGTCTATAATCAACTCTTATATAAATCTAATAATGTAATATGAGACTTTTGAAATGTGCATTGTTAAAACATTTTAAAAATGAGCGCAACAAAGATACTAAATGAATATACATAATTTACAAAAATGAGTATTCGAAAATTCAAAAGCTCATTCATGTATGTTCATTTTTTAGGCGTTTTACTCATTTGAGTTTAAGGTAAAACTCATTTCTAATGTGCTCGGTATAATATATATAAAAAGAAAAGAAGTAAACAACAAATAAAGAAAGTAAAAGAAGTAAAAAAAAGAGAAAGTAAAATCAACCAGCAAAAGTAAAGAAAATAAAAAACAAAAAGACAAAGTAAAACATAAAAGAAACGAAGCAGATCAACCAAAAAAAAACGAAGCAGCGAATGAATAAAAAAAAGAGTAAGGAAGCAGCGGATAACACATGGATGAGCCGCTGAAAAAAAGGGGAATTAAAAAAAAAAAGCAGCGGCCAATGACGAGCGTGACTGGAGCACGGAAGGAAGAAGCTCAGTCTATTTAATTACAAAAAAAAACGGGTGTACATACACCCGGATGTACCCTATAATTTGCGGATAACTGTGGGATTGATCATTGGCACGTTGTCGATTCAAGTCATTGTCAGAATTAGGAGTAATTTAGTAAGTATAATGCTCACTAGTTACGGTTTTGGAAATTAAAAAATCACTTTTTGTCCGTAACTTATTTTTAATCATGTGTATTACATAACCCGACACATTGTCGTTTTCTTTTTAAAGAAAAAATGGTGGTTGATGTTTTTTCTCATTTCCACTGATATTTAGCATGTAGGTTTTGACATTTTATTTTAAAATATGAGTTAATTCTAGTCATAGTAACTTATGTTCAATCTTCACATTTAAGTGATCATGACATTATATATTCATAATAACTTTAGTTATATTTTTGTAAGTTTTATCTAAGTAATAATTTTTGGTAAAAACCCCATAACTACCTTGTATTTTGATCAAGTCATTTTTAAGAGATGTATGTCACCTCAAAACATAAAACATCACTTTAGAGTTTCGAGCCTCTTCGGTAAATACTAAATTAGCTGAATTAGAGTTTAGAGTTTCGAATTGAATAGGCTAATTGACTGAATTTGTTAAAGGGAAAAATTCATTTAGCGAAAAATTAATTAAAAATAGAAATAGTCCATTTCAGCAATTTCAATCAATTTAGTCACAAACTAATTAATCTAATTTATGTTGATTATTATACGATTGAGCGTGCGCAATCAAAACCTATGTACATGCTAAAAAATTAAATGATAAATCGAAAATAAAAGTTATCAAACTAACGTTTAATCTAAGATCACCCCCATATTTTGATACTATACATATGCTAGTACTAGTTTAAGCGATACGACTATTAGCCCAAATATGAGTAAAATGACTCTGAAATGCAACCATTGAACTGTAATATTTTTATATCCAAAATAGGAGTAATTTACTTTCATTTTTCTATTTTATCCTCTTCTTATAATCCGAAATGAAACTTATTTTCTATCATTTGCAATGAAGCCAAAGATTCACTATTTTTGGGCTTGCGAATATGATGAAATAAATCAAAAATGACTCACTAAACTGTATACGCTTCTTTATTATGAAGCAACAGTCGGTCTATGCAACTTTGTATGCGATTTTCACTATGGATCATTCAAAAACAGTCTCTCTGTGCTTTAGTATAAGGGTAAGACTGCGTACATTCGACCCCCCTTACACTACCGTAGGTGGGAGTCTTTGCGACACTGGGGTAATGATAATGATGATGATGAACAAAATCATAATTTTAATTATAATGAAATGATAAAAATATTATTTAAATTTATAATAAAAACGTAAAAATAATATAAATTAAAATTAAAAATGTATAAAATAAAAATAGAAACTACCAAAACTTAAAAACAATGAATATATATACATATACATATATAATACATAAAAACTATTAAAATTATGTAGGTCTCTTCCCATGCTTCTTCCAACTCCCAACACCGTCACATAAGATTGTCAATCTTGGTTAAAATACTAAAAAATGTCACATTTCTCTGAAAGTATTGTATGAAGATTGCATTTTTACTTTTTTAAAATATATATATAAAAAAATCCTACTAAAGCATGGCAAGTGAAGGGTAGGATGAGAAGAGTTACTCCTGTTTTTGGAATTTAAAACTTATATTAAGAGTATTACTCCTATTAAGAGTATTACTCCTAAACAATATATACCTAGTTGAAAGAATTTTGTCGTTTTTTGTGTTCATATTTCAAAAGGACGGTGAACTAGATGAAGATGTATCTGATAGAATCAGAACAAGGTGGTTGAAATGAAATAGCGCATCAGGATTTTTGTGCGGTTGAGGTTGTCAACTAGAATGAAAGATAAATTTTATCCGACAACAATAAAACCTGCATTACTATATGACATAGAGTATTGGGCGCTGAAAGCATGAAACTATGTCACAATCAAAAGGTGAGTGTGTCTGACAGAGATATGCATGTTGCGTTAGATGTAGGGATGGACCCGGGCCGGGCCGGTTCCGGTTCCGGGCCGGGCCCGGGCGGGCTTTTTTTTCGGGTTACATGGGCCCGGAACCGGCCCGGGTTGATACCGGGTCCGGGCCTAACCGGGCCGGGCCGGGCCGGGCCCGGTTCAATGTTTTTTTTTTTTTACTTTCTTGTTATCTCCCTACCCCCCCCCCCTCACCCCCATGCCCCAAACCTCCCTAAAACACCCAGCCCTACCCTAGGAAAAGAAAAAAAATTGAAAAAACCAAAAAAAAAAAAAAAATGAACCGGGCCCGGCCCGAACCGCCCGGGCCGGTTCAAGAAAAATAGGGCCCGGAACCGGCCCGCCCGACCCGCCAACACGGGCTAAAAGCCCGGAACCGGCCAACCGGGCCCGGTCCGGTCCGGGCCCGCACAGTAGCGGGCCGGTCCGGTTCCGGGCCGGTTCGGCCCGGCCCAGTCCATCCCTAGTTAGATGTGGGAATGATGCATCTATTTGACGAGTTGAAAGGTGAGGAGAAGAGATGGAGAGGAGAGGAAGAAGTAGACCTAAACAGACTTGGATTAAAGGAATCGGGAGTGATACGATTCTTCTTGATACAGGTAGACATCTTAATCCACTTGCTCAACCAATTCCGTACCCAACTACCCGCGGGTCCAACATCAATCCCAAGCCCGAACCGCCCATCATTGCCGTGGACAGATCCCAGGAACCAGCTAGTTCCAATTATGACACGTCCTAGACTGGTCCGTCCCTAGTTGGAATGGTTTAAAACTGTATATGTAACCAAACCCATTAGAGGTGGACACGATCAAGTTCCGACCCAGAAGAGAGCCAGTACTGTCCAGTTTTAAATTGGGAACCAAGCCGGCAATTTGTACCCGAACAAAAACTAGAACTGATACCAAGGTATCTCCGAGACTCAGAACAAGGTTCCTCCAAAATGGGCCAGACCGAACAGTCCTTTTTTAAGAAAATAGCCTTAAAATCCTGTATAAGCATAATTGGAAAAGGTTCTGAAACCATCGGTTCAACCCGACCCAGAACAAAATAAGGTATTACAGATTTTGGATACCCCGTTTCATTTTCTACTGGGGGGGGGGGGGATTGGAGCGTGTCCACACACATATGGCGCCACCAAAATGGTTATAGATTTGTTTTTGTCATTGTTACCACACCCATGGAAAAGAGATGCGCTAGCAATTACTAGACATAGTGATAATCTTGGTCACTACCATCCCTTTTTTATTAAATATATAAAGGCTAAAATCCTCTTAAAGTCAATTTTCAATTCCTACCTAACAAAGAGAACATCTTATGACAACACTATTTCCAAGTTCCAATGCTTCTCAGGTGCATCCCACCCACCATCTGCATGTAGTTGCAACAGTTTATTGCACTATATCAGAATAAATGAACAAATGATATGTACACGGATATGTGAACTTTTCTCAAATTTAGCCCTATACCTTCTCATCATCTTATATTCACTTAGGGTCTATTCTCACCATTTCCAGAACCATTCTCTGACCATGTCCTTGTATGCATCATTATTCTAAAATAAATTCAAGGAACAAGGAATGGCCAGAGAATGGTTCAAGGAATGATAAAAATAGACCCAAGTGGATGAAAGATGGCTCAGGGAATTGGAAAAATTAATCATTACCACAAATAGTTACATGAGACCTTAACTTCACGATTTTCTCCTGATGAGCATCTGCATGCATAATCAGTAGAAATTAAGAGCCAGTCTAGTAAGACATAAAATGTCACTAAATTTACTGAAATTGCTCAAAAGATGCAGCTCAATGGGCTGATAAGATGAAACTAAATTCCTACCAAATGGGCTCTAAGCCTCTAAATGTGTAGCACATCATATATACAAGCGGACGTACAAACCTTCTAGGTAAAAAATATATCATGTCGATCCCACAGGAGAGATTCCCTTTGGATTAAATAAAAAATATCAAATTGGTCCTAACAGGAGAAGATTCAAACTTCCTGTCGGTATTACCTTCATCTCAGGGACAAGCTTCAAGTTGTTTTTATTTCACTGGATCACTCTCGAGAAGGGGAACCACCTTAGGTTGCATTTGGCTTTGATCCGAGAGTGGCGGCTCGAGCAGCTGGTATTTCGGCTTATTTTTTGTCAGAAGCACGTAGGTAGTGTAGTACCAGAAAAGTATAATTTTACTTTGAGCCATAACAGTATCTCTAATCTGACTGCCTTCAAAAGATAGCCGCTCAAGTTGCTGGAAAGGGATGTACACAAAATTTTAAGTGAAGAATTAGACCATACATTCAATAACCTTATTAGTTCATGATTACACAAATCTGACTGCTTTGGGACTAACTAATTGAGGCTCGTTTGTTAATCGTGTTTCTGGGAATAAGTATGCCAGGACATTACAAGGCAAGGGAGGGGAAGGGTCCAAGAATTGAATTTGCATGATCGACTGCTAGCTTACTGACAACTAAAACTACAGTATGATGAATATGGATGATCATGATTAGTTTTCTCAAGTTCAACATTTTCCAGACCCTGACAGTTATAGATGTGCATTTGAGGCTTTAAATACCTAAACTCAAGAGAAAGACATTTGAAATTTTTAGTCTACTTCGTCCCTGATTTTTTTCGTATCATGTGTGCATATATAAAAAAAATGCACTTGGTCAAGATTTTTATACTGATTAGTGTGTCCCTCAAATTGCTTTCTATTAAAAAAATGCCACAACACCAGCAGTTATTGCACATGGTCTCTGACAGATCTCACTATGAAATTCTCAAACACCGCAACACCCTGGAAAAGTATAAATATGTACCGTTTCCCTAAGGAATGAGGGCAAGACACCTAAAAATCGTATTGTTGTTGAAAGAATTATTACGACCGTTTGTATAAAACAATGAGATTTAAATTTATTCTGTCTTTTGAAATATGTCATGAATTAAAAATAAAGCTTCGCAGGCTTCACTCACTTGTTCACCGCATTGTATATCAAATGAATTTTTATGCTGAAACTGTAGCCCACTAAATTCATTGATGCAAAGCCCTTGAAATGCCCTGAAATCAAATAAGATAAGGTTACTGTGTGGCGTAAGCAGATAGCAAAAGAATACTAGCAATTCTTCAAACACATTTAAAACATATACTTACCATCTTATAAGGGAAACCCGAGGAATCCAGCGAAAGATAACAGGTGTGTTTTTTGAATTTACATAATAGCCTCCAAACACAATAAAAACTGTCATAAGAGAAGGCCCTAAGGCCATAGCGGCTTCAGTAGTTGGGACCATAGCACCCACAGTCAAGCCCATTGCAGAGGCAGCAAAAGACTCCATGGTTACAATACCACAGAACTTACCAAATCTGGAAAAGAAAAGAAACACAACAACATATACAGTGATTACTAGCAATATGTCATGCGTTCAGTGCTCCCATATTATCTTTTAATAAGATCAAGATTGTAAATCTTTTTTCAGAGGAAATAAACTACTAGATACATAAAATAGAGATAACCAGCATATAAACTACTAGATACATTGTTAAAAGGCTCAATAATGGGTTTGACCAAGACAGCAAAGCCTTCTTAACTGTAAGAGGGATTGCTACTACCCTACTATAAGCCTTCAGCATTTGAGACGAACTAATTATAGATACTTGTGTGGTGTGTTGATCTCCTTAAATATCATCTGATAGTTACTATTATAGAAAATGCCATCACACGCAAATGTAGGGATGTAAATTGTATCCTGTAGGATACCTTTTTAAACATGTCACATGGTACCACGTAAATTATTTTAATTGGGGGTGGTACAATACTTTACATGGTTAACATAAAGCAGTGCAATAACTTTGAATGTAATTTAAAAATAAAATACGCACCTAACCACAGTGTATTCATATTTTACAGGCAAGGTGATTACTTCCTACACTTTGCATGCAATCATTTTCCATGCAAAGCTTTAATGTGCAAACTAGCAAACGGGCCCTAAGGTTATACAAAGGGGATAATATGTGAGTTTACTCACATGATACTATATCAGCAGATAGCCTTACTGCTAGTCTGCAAAATTGAAAGCTCACCTAGAAACAGTAGGATGAAGTTGTGTCATGGGGTACATGATGCTACCGAATAGTAAGGGGAATGCTGCTCCGATTGGAGCCTCAGCTATCAACTTTGAAAGCAGATATGGTCCTAATGCATAACACCCTTTGGCCCGCTCACGATCTACAATTGCACGTTCCTTTGGAAAGACTCCCACAGTTTTTGTGAGTGCAGCCATTGCAGTATTTATGGCAGCTACCTGTGAAAATATAAACAAAAGAATAGTATTTGGAAAGACTGCCGGTATGTTTCTTTATTCAGAAGTAGTTTGTGACCAAAATATCACTGCAAATCCTAAGATCATGAATCATGAACGTGAACTGGTACAAGTATCGACAGTGGAAATACAAAAGAAATGCAAAGGTCCTGTGCAAAACAAAAGACGATTTTGTTACGGAGCTTTAATACTATAGCCATATGTATCAATGAAGCAAAGGAAAGAATGAGCTCCTGAGGCGATTGGGCTGATCCAAACGAACATATTAGGCCAGGTCTAGAGGTCCGGGGCACAAGCCTTTAGATTGAAGGATTGAACCCAGCCAACTGCCTTGCTGTCAAAGCAAGCAGTCCCGTTATCTTTCTTATTATTTTCACTCCGCTATTTGAAGGACCCATTCACTATTCGGCTATCAACTTAGCACTATTTTAACCTAGTTCTACTATATGTATCAAAATTTAATCATATTCAAATTCAACTTTAGTGGTTCAACAGAATTATTAGTGTAAATTCTATATATGTAGATTTTGAATTATTGAAGCTAATTTATATGTTACTAGGGGAGAGTTAACTTTTGAAAAATTAAATATGCAGGGGAATATATTAGGAAAAGGTTCAGGGAATGGAGGTGAACTTACCCCCGCGCCCTTTGTGAATTAAATAAGGCTTCCATTCATTAAAAGTATAACTGGAATAAATTCTTGATTCCCTAAACTCTTCCCTGACCCCTTCTCTAGCCGTACCATAACTCTTAACTTCAGGGCCTCAGGCTCAATCAAACTTCGTAATCCAAGACTGGTCCCTTTGAATTGAGATGGAGGTAGTGTTTCCTAATTCTTGAGTAGTCTGTCTTCCTCCAATTAAGTTGTATCAGGATTACAACTCTAGGCAGTCCTTTTCACATTAGGACACTTGTAGCTGCTATATGAGGGTCCCTAGTTGATTTAATTAATTACTTTGTGGAGAGTTAATTTGTGTGTGCATTACTAGTCAGCACTCAGCAACAGATTAATTCCAATTACAATGTTTATTTTTGTTCCATAGATGTGGAACTCGATAACGGGGGATCATCTCTCCTGTTGGTTCAAACTCGACCTTGAACAAGATCTTGGACACACTTTATTGAGTCATTGACGGACCTTTGTTTTCTCTTCTGGTCAAATTCATTAGTGGAAAGCAAGTTCACATATCTAATATACAGTTAATGATTACGGAGTAATTTACAAAACAGAACCAACGACTTAGCATATGTACCACTAGTCTACATCCATTAATTAGAAAGATACAAAATAATATATGCACACCTGAAGCAATCCCAATCTATCTTGTATCGATGTTTGTGATCTTCCCATCCTCCAGAAAACAGAACCGAATATAAGAGCAGATGCAATAGACATCCTTGCCCGGACTTGGTTTGTTGGACCATCACGAGATGCCTGTTTATAAATTCGAAGTGCAACAATATAACAACGGAGGGAGGAATCCAGGATATGGCTTAGTAAAACATCTCACTCAATAACCTTCCCATTAAAAGACTTATCTGTGAAAAGGCAAAAAAAACCTTTATGCTTAAGAGGTGGTCCGCTTGGAGTAAATTCTACTATTACATTATCTTTAGTGTATGCACAGCATCTTGAAGATTTAGTTAGACCAGTTTCTTCCTTTAAAGCCTTTCAAGGCCCCATACACCAATCATATCATGTGATGAGAAAATAGTAGGTTGAGTGATCACAAGGACAGACCTGCATCCATGCACGTTTAAGGAGTAAAACAAACTGCCTCCACCAACCACCTTTCCTTTTGATGACTGTTTTCTTCTTTGAGTTCACATATTTGTTTAGGTGATCCCTAGAAACTGGACTTTCATACAAAGTAGTTGTTATTGCTTCTTTGTGCGAGAATGACTCCACAAGTCCATCTATTCTTTTCTGAGAAGCATGGACAGTTTCTCTTGTTCCATAGTCTACTGATATTAAATCAGCCAAAAACTCTGCAGGATTCACATGATTGGGACAAATATACCTGTGCACAAATCGCCACTGCTTCATTTTACACAACTGTAAAGGAAAAACATTGCATTGCAAAATGCAAAGCATATAAAAACAGTTGAAGAATAAAAGATACTCCAGATTGTATAATCATGTTTCACTTTGAATTATCATCAATCATATAAGATACCAACCCAAATTTTGCGAAGTATGCCAATGGCGCCTCGCCAGCAGGGCCAGCATAAATAAGTGAACCTTCTGAAAGCAACACAATGTCATCAAATTTTTCATACACGGACCCTCTAGGCTGATGTATGGAGCATATCACAGTATGGCCATCCTGAGCAAGTTGTTGTAGAGTTTCCATGACTTTCTCTGCTTGAAAAGCATCAAGTCCTGAAAGCATTAATCAAATTAACAGCAAAAATTAGATACAAAAGTATCAGCACTTAATTGTGTTAGTATATCCATATAACAGCTGCTGGAAAGAGGAAAGTATGATATGAAAAAAATCCTTTCTACAGTAGCTGAATAGCTGACAAATGACAAAGCATAAAAAGATCCTTTCCCTTGATTACTAAGTGTGGGGGGGGGGGGGGGGGGGGGGCAAAAGCTAAAGTTCTGAGGCAAAACTGCCAAAATATTTTGGGCAACCCTCAATGAGCACCATCTATACATTTACAACTCAAGGTAGAGCATGCAAGATGTTCATATATTAATGGCCATCCATCACACCCAAACAGATTTTGACTATTACTTTTAAGGGTAAAGAGTGTATTTGTACTAATTCTCAAGATCATTCGATCTTTTAAAAAAATTAGGTGGGATACAGAAAACACTTGGTTAAAGAGGAAAGAGTGTTTTTTCAATTTTTCCCTAACTCTCAAGATCATTTTATCTTCTTTAAAAGGGGCTGCAGGGGACATTTTCTTGTATAGTTGGAACTTGGAAGCCTTCAGGATCCAGCTCACACTCCTTGGTGTTATAACAAACAGTGCTTGGAAAAGCAATACGTAAAAAGACGATGCTTGCAGTTATAAACTTTTCTATAGTTTTTCAACATTCTACCTCAGATGAGTCAGATCGGGGTCGGTATGTCAGTGATACAGATTGAACTAAAGTATGACATCTTGCAAAGAGGATCAGGTCCAAAAACAAAACAGCAAACGAAGACAAATACAAGTTACAATTATCCGGTTCATTTGCAAAAATGAATGATGGACTGGCAATAAACTCACATGCAAGTGAGTCCGTGAGAGGCGATTCTTCTCACTTCTTGGACAAACAATATGAAAAAGGATGATGTTTGCAATTATAAACCTTCCTACATAGTTTTTCAACATTCAACCTCAGATTGGTATGGAATGAGCCAAAGTTGACTAAAATATAGAATCTTGCACAGATGATCACGACCAGAAGAAAAATGGCAAGAGAAGACAGCACAAGTAACCTCAAAAAAAGGCAGTACAAGTTACCTGTAGTCGGTTCATCAGCAAAAATGACAGATGGACTTGCAATAAGCTCACAAGCAAGTGAGAGCCGTTTCTTTTCACCACCACTTATTCCACGAGCTTTTGCATCGCCAACACGAGTATCAGCACAGCCAGACTTTTGAACATATGCAAATCAAACAACAAGGAAGAACTTGTAAAAACATTTCATCATTTCCTAACCAAGTTTATGTCAAAATCTAATAGTCAGCTAGAGACTGCTAAGATATTAGATAGAACTCAGGTAACTCAGAATACCGCAGTACCATTACAATTTCAAGTGCATGTAAATATATCACAATAAATCCTCACTAGTAAAGGTAGTACACAAATTGATGAAAATGAAAATGTGTGTCATAGGCTCATAGCCATGCCAAAGCAATAAATATGATGGCTATTTTGCTGCCATTGAGGTTTAATCAGCAAAACATTAAAATATTATGGAGTAAATAAGAAGAAAGAGAAGGCATTATTACCAATCCTAGTTTGAACAATAAATTGTTCACATATGCATCTCTCTCTTCCACAGAAGATATGTCCTGCACCTGAAGTTCAGCTGCGAGAGAGAGTGTTTCTTTCACTGTTAATTGTGAGAAGAAAAGGTCTTCCTGTCTAATATAAGCAAGTCTGCAACAGAAAACAGTCAAACACAATGATTTAAACACATTCATATCAATTACCAGGTAAGGATAGTGGATATATAAAACTCATTCTGGTCTTGTAAAGATTATTCATACTTAAGAGGCTTGTTGACAAACTGCCGCCCGTTAACCTCTAAAACACCAGACAAATGTAATTTTGGTGACGCTTTCATCTGACCAGCTAATACATTAAGCAAAGTTGTCTTTCCTGAACCTGACGGGCCCATAATAGCTAGCAACCTCCCAGGCCTGGCCTCTCCACTTACACTCTGAAGCAAAAACCGGACCTGAAATTAAGGGAAGGGACAACAAAACTGTATTGATGAGTAAATTGATATCAATAACCAATACTATAAAAATAAGATGAAAAACTAGGCACACAAGTATAACCGAAACTAATTTATATTATCATTAACAATCAAGTTGCCAACACAAAGGATAAATTTGACCCGTTAATGTAGTGGTCAAATTTTCACCGCCTTACAATCTGTAACCCCAATGATATAACTTTCTGGGAAAATATAAATTTAAATAAACAGTGGGACAATATTTACCTGAGTACATCATATTAATTTCTTTTTATACGATTATGTTTTGTCAAAAATGTGAGTACTGTACACATGTTCCATGATGTGCATGTCGATTTAACATTATTAATATCGCAATGAGGCATCTGATGATCATGGGAACTATTTCAACACATGTGATATTTCCCGTTGAAGTGAAAAGCGTATGAGGGTGCCCACAAAACTTCCGGAGTAAACGGTAATCATTGTTATTCAGAAGATCTGAGGTAAACCACTGTTACTGACACTAGAAAACGGTAAATCATTTTAATTAAGCCGAATTTCTAGTGTTAAGTACTGGTTAGACAAGCTACTGACACTAGAAATTTCATCACCAATCACAATACTTGGGATTAAGGGGGTGAGTGATGCCGGCCAGCTGCCAGTCTACTCCACATTTGCTTGATATGGTTAGCAATCAGTTAATCACGACAAAGCAGAACTATATCACGGATATCTAGGCATGTGCTTACATAAGTATATACTCTGAGAAGTGAGCCTCGTCACCCATACGCCAGTGATTTTCAAGTTTTCATTTCTAGTGGCTGTTGCAGTGTTGCTGCTTATTTCGTATAAAATGATAATTGGAAGTGAATAATTAAACTTCATAACAAAATAATACAGCAAAAACACCGTTTTCAATGGATTGGCTAGTATTATTCTTCACTTATATGACCATGCAATAATTCGCTCTAAATTTAAGAAGATGAAATATCACAAAGACTTACTGATTTGGATGAATTGTCGGAGAGAGCACAAGTAATGTTAGTCCACCTAATAGTTACTGGAGACACTTTCCCGTTGGGTGGAGCCTCTCCATTTTCCTCGCCATTGCTCTCTTCTTCATCTTCATTACCCGGCAACAGTGCCGGGCCGGGACTGGAGAAGAGACGCAGCAGAGCTGCAGCCGCAATCGCCGTCACCAGCTTCCCAACCCCGCCACCAATTGGCAACATTTCTTCTCACTTCAGAGGGAGCCTAGCTCGTTGGTTGCTGACTTGCTTGCTCCTGGTTCGCTCTCAAATCTCAATCCTCCCCTCAGCTTCTGTTCTTAAATAAATGCACAATTTATAAAAAGTTGTGGAGACACAACTTTAATCATTAATATATACTCCGTATAATTTTCTATTAGTAAAAAAATTTAAAAAATTAGATTTTGAAAATTTACGATTAGAAAATTTAACAATATCTTTTTCAAAAATATATATTGATTTATGAATAAATAAAACGTAGTCAAAGTATTACTCAGTCCCTTTTTATTTAGTCAAACACTATTTTTCAAGTCAATGATGTCTAACTTTGACCAATTATATATTTTTAAAGGGTAATATTCATAATATGAAAATGATACAAAAATGTTCTTTTTAAAAGAACTATCATAAAAGTATAAATTTATTAAGTTTCACATAAATATAATAATTAAAATAATGGATAAAAGTTTATCTTCTTTGACTGGAAAAGTCAAAGATGACTAAATAAAAAGGGACGGGGGTAGTATAAAAATTCACAATTTATAAAAAATGTAGTTGCAAGTAAGTTGAAATGTAATTTGTCCAATACGAAATACGGAGTATAAAAAATAAAAAGTCCAAATACGGTTTTTAATGTAAACAATGAAAACAAAAAGTCTAATTGCTCAATTACTTTACGAAGTAAATATGTTTGCTTTTAATATTAAGGCCGTACCAATTGTTTTTCAAACAAAATATTGTTTTCCATAAAAATCATTTTTTTGTCAAAAAATTATTTTTTTGCATAAAAATGTTTACTTATTTGTTTCAATAGTAGGGTTTATTTTGTTATGTAACTGATGTTAAGAAAAATGTAAATCGCGTTGATAGAAATCTAACTTATGTGTATAAAAAATGTAACTTTTTGAAACAAGTCCAAATGTAACACACGCACTGGAAGATGTAACACACTTGTAAAAAAAGAAGTATCTCGCGGATAAGAAGATGTAATTTTATATAGAGGGCTGTTCGAGTCAGGAGGCCTAACCGGACAGCCCCGTGCGGCCTTCCTCGTTTGAGGGCCTTCCCGGTGGAATTTTTTTATGAAAGTTTTTTAGCATGTTCCTCATCAAGTTTAGTTTATCCATACCAAATTTCAGCTCAAAATTCGATCGGGAAGGCAGTCAAATAAATTCTTGAAACATACTGGGCATTCTGCGCATATATAAAGTGCAGTATGTTTCAAGAATTTATTTGGCTACCTTCCCGGTCGAATTTTGAGCTTAAATTTGGTATGGATAAACTAGACTTGATGAGGAACATGCTCAAAAATATTTATCAAAAAATTCCACCGGGAAGGCCCCCAAAAGGGGAAGGCCGCACGGGGCTTCCGGTCAGGCCTTCCTGACTCGAACGGGACTCATTTTATATATACTATAAAATGTAAACAATGAAAACAAAGAGTCTAATTTCTCAATTAATTTACATAAATAGTGAATGTGTTTTTTTTTAATATTAAGGATATAAACTTGTTATAAAGGAAAAACATTTTTTTGCCAAAAAAGATTTTTTCCCTACCAACAAATAATAATTTTTTTGTGATGTAACTCGGGTTATGGAAAATGTAACTCGTGTTGATAAATCTAACTTAGGTGTATGCTAAATGTAACTTATTGAGCCAAGTCCAAATTTAACTCACACATAGGAAGATGTAAGTCACGCATAAAAATATGTAAATCATGCACACGATGATGTAACTCCATATACAATCGAATATAACTTCAGAAATTATCACACACGTGTGAAAATGTAAATCACACACAAGAAGATGTACGCTCATATTTTATCAAATCTAAATCAAAATAAACAAATTTAATTTAGATTAATACTGCAAAAAGTGTAGAATACAAAAAAATTTACAAAAACATGCAGTGGGGCATCTGCCCAAAATGACTTAAGTAGATCAGACATCTTCAACATACACCTCACTTTCTCCATAATGGTTCTGTTCATCCTCTCTGCAACACCATTATGTTGTGGAGTGTCAAGAAACTGTCTTCACATGTCGAATGGCATACTTTGAGCAATAATTCTTGAACTCACGTGAAGTGTGTGTGTATATATATATACTCATCACCATTGTCAAAACGAAGACACTTCAATTTTCTTTTCTTCTCCCATCCCACCATAGCATGAAATTTCTGAAATGTCTCAAACATTTGGCTCTTGCTCTTCAACATGTAAACCCATGTTTTTCTAGTGGCAACATCAATGAAAGTGACAATGTATTTGCTGCCACCACTAGACTCCACCTCAATGAGACCACGAACATCGTAGCGCACAAGCTCCAGTTTAGCTTGCCTTTTAGTAGACTTCCCAGCAAAAGAAGCTTGATGATGCTTACTTGCAAAACAATGATCACAGGACTCAAGAGTAACTATAGTATTGACAAAAATAAGAGATTTACCTGCAAGAAAATTCAAATATTTGTCTCTCATGTGTCCCTATCCGCGGCCACAAATTAAGAGAATTCTTCTCTTCCACTGCATTAAGTTCACTAAAACACTCAAATATGTCTTGTACAAAGAGTAGCACAACTCGCCACGTGCAACTGTCATAGAACCCTTAGACAATGTTCACTTCCCATCTTCAACGGTGTGTCTGAAACCTTCTTGATCAAGAACATTAACAGACAACAAATTAAATCGTAGATGAGGAATATGGAGCACAACTTTCAGTGTGAGTACGCATCCAACACCAGTGTTCACATGAATATCACCTAATCCAATAATGCTTGTTGAGCTATGGTTACACATCTTAACACTACCAAAACAACCAGCTTGTTAGTTCATAAAATACTCTCTTCTGGGAACACAATGATATGAGACATTTGTATCTGCAAGCCACTCTGAGTCAGAACTATCAGCATGATGACACTCACTAGTTGCATAAATCAAATAATATCATCATCACTCTTAGAAGATATTGTTATAGTGTTTTTGTCATCTCCTTCTTTCTATGAATTATTCTTCTTCCTCTGTTCCTTCTTCGGCCGGAAACAATTCTTTTCGATATTACCAGGCTTGTTGCAATAATGGCCTTCGACCTGCTTCTTAAGTTAGTATGACCTTTGAGACCCATATTTTTGCTCCTTCCTCTGTTCTGAACAACACGAGCATGTGTATTATCAACTCTCATCTCCTTTCTTCTGAATTCCTCATTAAACATGCTTTCTTTGATGGCATCCAAAGATAACACACCATCCGGCACAGAGTTACCAGTAGTCACAACCAAGGTTTCCCAACCGCAGCTCGCAGCTCACCATCAAGAAAGGTTTTCATGGTAGTCAACTTGCGGATAATATCCTGAAAGTCACTAAGATGCTCAAAAACAGACTTCCCGCTTTTCTATTTCAAATTAACAAGTTTCTTAATCAAATAAGCTTTACTATGAGCAGACTTCCGTTCATAAAGACCTTTCAATTTCTTCCATAAATCATAGGGAACAGACTCTTGAGACACATGGTTGAAAATGCTGATATCAACCCATTGTCTGATAGTCCTCAAAGCCTTTCTTTACAACTTTAACCATCCTTTCTCTTCCATTTTGTATGCTTTGGATGTTTTATAATTAGTATCATCATGATTGGTAACAGATTCAATTGGATCATACAAGTCCTTACAATATAATATGTCATCCATCATAGGTCTCAAAATAGAATAGTTAGTTGATGTTTATTTTACCATCGAATTGTTACTGCCCGATTTCATAGCGTGACAAATTAAACTTCGGCTGTGACACCAAGTTGTAGGGATCAAACAAGGGGGTCTTTATGATACCTACAATGTCATACACCCATGACAATCAATTAAATAAGCAACCCAATCAACCGAAATTGTCACACAACCAAATTATCACATATAATCAGCACTAATGCAATATATAAATCACAAAAACGAGAGTAAATAAAGCACAAGGATCACACACGATTTTTCACGTGGAAATCCCTTCAACGTGAAGGACAAAAAAACACGTGACCTCTTGAGTAGTCCACCCTTACTTCTCTTATTGATAAATGAGAACAAAAGAACTCCAAATCAGTCTACAAAGGAATCACAACCTACCAACAATTACCAAGAACAATAAGAGATAAAAATAGCATAGTAAGGTGTAGAAATCACCCAAAACTGCAGGTTTGTTCGAGCAAAGTTTCTGACCAAACCAAAGATCAACTAAACAATTTGTTCGTGCAAAGTGAATCCCCTTGAAGTCACGAACAAGCAGTCCAAGTTTCAGTAAAATCCAAACAAGGGAACACATCTAATCGTAGAGCTGAATGAAGATGCACATTCAATGCAAAAATCGCAAATCCTCATTGTTTTGTGTTTGTGTGTGCGTGGAATGATCTGGCAATTCCTTCCAAAGATGATCTTTTGCAGCAAAAGAACCTCTAAAAAACTTCTCTTAGAAGCCCAAAGCTCAATATCAAATGGACCCAAAAATAAGATATAAATAAGACATAAAGGCCCAAACATAAACAACATAAACAATATAAAATATTGCAAATATGGGCTGGACCTATAACAATATATACCATGCATAATTTTTCCCCACGTGGTCATAGTCTTGGTCAAACACTTGTGGTAGAAAGTAATTAAACCAATAAACCATGTCCATCATCTTTGAAGTCACAAATCTTTTGGTCCAAATTAAATTAAACTTCGCTGCCTCTCCATTAACATTAAATGGAGGTAGAAGAGTTCTTGCACAAACACATTCGATTTGAGACAATTGAAGATGAAGAACACATTTCACTATGCTTAGTTTGTGGGGAATAAGAAAGTGTGGGGAAAAATATGACCCCCCTACATCTTCTAAGATCATAAGCTCATAGTACTTTTATAAACTTACTCACACACTCGCAATACAAAGATTTCATTTGACAATATCACACTGTATTACAATTGAAATGTACAAGAGAGACTTTACAAGTAAATATGTAGCTCACTCACTATTTATATATGAGACTAGATCACTATATCTCACTCACGAGACATCCTTTAGAATCTATTCTCCCATAAGAATTTGCTCTCATTTCCATCTCTCAATGAG